TTGACTGACTAGGTACTTAACCAACAAATGACTAATGCGTCATATCCGTTAATGAAGTGGCTTGGCTTAGAAAATATTAACTTCCTGTTTCTGTTTTTCAGATATGCTTGTAAAAGTACAAATCTTAATTATATTACCCTGTAAGTCCGCTTTACCGACGGCTTTAAGTTGCGAATAAATAGTTTGTTGATTTTTAAACATTCACCTAAACGATCCGTAGCGATAAAAACGTCCTATTCCTGAATAGGAGAGTTGTTAGTCGGGGAGCCTGTGTTGAACATCCGTTTCATGTAACTTTAACATCATCAGTTTCCATTGCTTCTACCTCTGTCGTGGCATCGCTAACTACTCCCAGTGACAACTGTCCTTTTCAGGACTAGCCTCACCCGGACAGTCGTCTACATTATGATTTCCGTGCTCAAACATTCACTGCAGTTCTATCGGTAGAAATTACTACACGAAGGGATTAGATTAAGAACACTAGGCTTTACGGTCCAAGTGACGCAAAATTTTAAAAGAAATCTCACAGCATCAACAAAAACTTCAATAAATGGTTTACTAAAAGCAATTGGGATATTATGTAGCAAAGAACTTTGAAATGAATTTCTCATTTCGAGTCCTGTTCTCTGTAATAATCTCAAGATAGCATCTGTTGAAATATCTCTGAAGATTATAAATTTTAAGGAGAGCAGATGTCACGATTAATTACTGCTTTATGGATGGCTTGGTATGTATTCAGAAGCGGAAAAAATTCCTCGCTCGTTAGGTCGGGGATTGGAACAATTTGGTTGTAAATAGCAAACGCATCATGAAAAGGTAAGGAGTTCAAACATCGACCACCGGGTTGACGATTGATTTGGTAGAAGTTCCTGTTTACATAGACTCCCCAGTACACAGAGGTTGGAAGGGTTCTAGTGGGGTCCTCGGTGAAAAATGAGGCACTTTGTAAGTGCCTTTTCCAAATCAACCTCAAACAAAAAGAAAACAAGAGAACGAAATTTATGCCAAGAAATATATCGCTAGTACAACAGAGTATAAGGTACATTTTTCTGAAATTGAACATTCTCTTTTCAATTCTTATTTGTTACGCATGAAATGAAAGCGAATTTAGCAAAATTTAGTTGAAGGTCACGCAACTATTTCGAGCCACCTTGAACAGTAAAGAGTCACTTTTGTTACCTAGAAACCTCTAAAATGATTGGTGAGTAAGTGCTGTTATTATATCAAAGTAGTCTGATTCTTAAAGATACTGCTGACATTCTAAGTGTAATAGCTACATCTTTTTAGATGATCATAATTATGATGATCAAGATGGTGATAGAGGTGACACTTTTTACGGAATACTGCGAAGTAGCTCCTCGCCGGACTGGAGTCTTCAATACAGTAGCTTGTTAGTGCTTGTTCATTCCGATAGCAAGTCCGTGCTGTATTTCAAAAAAGGGGCCAGCTGCAGACTATTTCTGGCCGGAGGTAATGATAAAATAAACTAAAACCTAACAAATTAACTTTGTTCGTCTTTCGTTATTTTGAACTTAAAGTGGAGCTCGTAGGCTGCGCTTCGAGCAAGGCTTTAACATTATTCGATTCATGCAGTTCAGACTTTCCATTAGTTAATTTCTCGATGAACGCACGCTAATTTACGAACTAATTGTCATCTGTTGGTCTCTCTCGAGTTTCAGAAACTGCTACTTACGGCAGAGTATGCACCACCCAAAAAAAAAGAGACAACATTGAAAATCGTGTCCTTGACATAAATTGGACAATTGGAGGACCTTCCAGTAGGCTGATTCACCCAAACAATAACATTTTATCTAAGAGCTTCCTTGACTTATAAGAATCGAAAATCGTGGCAAATAAAAAGTGAACAGGGTTAACGATGTTTATTTTTCCACAGATTTTGTTCTTATTCGCAAACGATACATCCACTTTACATGGCCAGGTCTGTTAAGGCACGGAAAGTTAAAATTTTGTGTCAGGGGACCTGGGTGTGAAAATTGTGCCTGTTGCTGTCGGAAATGAAGCATATGTGACGACCTGAGATACATTTCTTCTGAACCCAGCCGTATTATCTCCTTTGGAGTAGACCAGAATCCTCCAACTCTAGTGAAAAGGCTTTTACGAAGTAGTTTCAACTATACGAATATGAAAGCGATCTTCGCAGTAATGAACGCTACTTGAGTAGTAGTGAAAATAAGGCCTGAAAAAATATCAGTCCTGTACCCACGACCTCTGCGATACCAGTACCGCAGTGTTCCCTTACAGTGATCGGTGGAATCTATCGGACTAAGTAACCCTAAATATCTACTTCTTAACATTTAAACTGTGCATAATTTCGTGAGGAACTTACACATCTGTACCGGGAAATCGATGGCTTGTTATTGCTCAGTACCGAACTTCCTAGACGTAGGGAAAGGCCGCATACTGCCATTTAGGAACGAGGATTTATGTGTTGAGAAATAAAAAGCTTTTAAATCATTAAAAATAAAGTCTAAATGCGTATTCTTGGAGGAAAAAGAAAAAGAAATGATTCCAGTATGTAATGATAGGTATCACACATCTTTTCCTAATGATGCGGCTTTCTCACACGTTTTGTTATCCGAAGAGGTCGTCTTATAGCTTTGAAGAGTGATTATTTTAAGATTTTCTTTATTCTTGTTTTCTTTGTTTTATTTTCCTCGGAGTCTTCGACTGCCTATAGTCTTTATTGCGGAATTTCCATTTCGCAGTTGTTCCTTACATTTGTCTGAATGTAGTCACTTTAAGAGGCAATCTAATCGGGCTCAAATCATTACTAATTGCTACGTATCATACTTTCATGACTTGCACATTGCTTATTCTTGTCAGCTCTTAAGTGTTTTTATATATCCCTTACCTTCCTTGCATTAAATCCAGCTTGTTAGTCTTTGTTTCCAGGATCTGGTATCGGACTTAAGCAGTGTCGAGACCCGTATCTTCGGGGACACTTTTTGATACCTTGAAGAAACAGTTTGTTTTCTACCTTGTCATGTGAAAGAACTCGCGTGTTTTAATGAGCCATAATTCGGCTGAAGTTTACTGATTATTTCACTTCAAGATTCTGTATTAGAGACTTAAAAACTTCAGGCAAAAGTGTTAAATTCGACCTGCCGAACTATTTTAGTTTGTAAACTATCGCAAATTGTGAACTTTGATGGTTTTTGAACTTTGATGGTTTGACACTTTTGACAGCTTTTGTGTTGTACAGCCAATCAGATTAATTGAACCATTCTAACAGGGATTCTGATTGGCTGATCGTAGCGTGCTTTATGAGATTATACTGAGAGCATGCTGACGACACTGTTGTTCGCTTTGGAAATAAAGTTTGTTTTGAAAATTGAAAGTAATTCTTGGGGAATTTAACATATTCGTTATTATAAAACAAATAGAGAAGCCTTGACTGTGCTCTGTTCCGTTATAAAGTACTTAGGAAGCGGCTAGAGCACTCAAGAAGTGGGGAGACTACGTCTCGTGTTTCTCCCTACTCTTCTTTCGTGCTTTAGCCGCTTCCTGCGTGCTTTATAACAGAACAGAGCACAGTCAAGGCTTCTCTATTTGTTAAATAATGATAGCCTTTCTCATTGACCACTCTCCTAGTGAGTTGTTCTGCAAGTACACACATACACAGTCGGCCTAGTACTTTTTCACCCGCGTGCATTTAACAGGGAAGTGCATGTCTCTCATGTTTTTGCTTCTATTCAGCGGCTTATTCAAAAAGGCATAGAGAAAACGGAAAGTGAGTAAAGTCGCAATGAATTTTTTGCTGTATTATGGATCTTATCCTTCAGCTTACCTCTACTCGTTCGTAGGTGATGACCAATTTAATAATCAAAAATGTTGAATAAAAGGATGAGCGCTGATATAGTGAAGCCAACGTACAGTAGTTGTGCTATGTAATTGGACAAAGTATCACTGGGGATGAAGAGTTCCATACGTCTCGAACACCAAGCAATGTTCAGCCCAGGAAATGCAGCGAAATGAGAAGTCAGCTAAAACCATTCTTACTTAAAGAAGATTGTCAAAACCCCAGAACGGAAATTTATTTTCAATTCAGCACTCTTAATCCCCACGATATCAACGAGCGATTTTCATTCAACTGATTCATTCTCGCATTCTTGTCACCTTATTCCCAACAATGGCTTAGCTGCATTTCTACATATCAACATACACACAACCCACAATTCCTCCATTCACCCTAAAGAAGGGCTAACACTTGAAACTTCAGCTTTGAAACTCTTAACGGTGGCCATTTACGTTATCAACTCAGTTGATAATACTAAATTACCTTAACCTATAGATTGACTATTATCTGACAAGCTACAAACTCGTACTTATGTAAATGTGTTACAATCAAGATTGTTCCTTTGTTGCGTAACAAATGCAAACATTTATATCCTCTGGTTGTTTCATTTGTGAATAAATTTTCTTGCCCCTGCTTTATAGAATTCAGAAGGAGACCCTAGATCACATGAATTGATTTTGAAGGCTCATTTTTCAAAAATGAATTTAAAAAGTGGACATTCTTTTTTTCTTGGGGACTGTGGAGCACAGACTGCTAATGCGTCGTTTGGAATTTAGAATTCTGTCGTAGAACGTGGAATGAAAATGATCACTTGATCAGCTGACCGTCAGGCTGTCAGGCAACGGAGACAAGCGAATAAAGCGAGTGGAAAAATGCCGTGAGTGTTGCTGCGTCCCTAACAATCACAAATGATCGTTCGCCTATTGGTCCGCTGACTAAGTACCTGAAGCAAGTTAGAGTTGCTTCCATGTGAAATTATGACCATCTTAATAAGGAGGGGTGGCATAATTCACTTTCGTTTGTTGTAATGGTGAATCAAACTGAGCTTCGCTGGTGTGGGCAACTTAGGTTCTTTTTTGTGTTTTATGTTTCCCAGCTACAGTTAGATTATCTGTGTGAACAACATACTGCGACATACAACGCTCAAGTTTAATTAGCCTGTAATTACACCTTTTTCTGAACGTGATTACAAAAACAATGACTTGATCGAACTATGATTCTGTTCCAACTATCCATTCCCTACGTTCATCTAAGGAAGCTGTGACGTAATAAAGCAAATCAATCCTCATCTTCATCGTCGTCGTCGTCGTCGTCATCATCATTATCGTCTTCGTCATCGTGTTCGTTCTCGTGATGATCATTGTTTGAGTCCGCAGCATCATCGATTGTTTCATCGTTTTCTGATTGATGTTCCTCGTTAGAGGACCCTTCGTCTCCGCTGGGTGACTCTTCCTCATCTTCTTCTTCTTCCTCCTCTGGTTCTTTAACTAAACTTTCGTCACTTCCCTCACTGGAGTGAATGCCTACATGTGCTTGAAACATGATTAAGGGATTAATCGAAGACTAGCAATGCTTCATTAGTACTTAATCTCCATGCTAAAGTATTGAAGCAGAAATTTATTTAAAAACAAAATACGCAAAAATTCAACATGTAAACAAGCAAACAAAGCTTAAAACAAATGGAATAGATAGGTAGAGTAACAAACAATTTCAAACCAAAAAAAGATATTTATCTGTATTATTGAATTAATGAAACTATTAAAGAGAGCTGTGATTAACATAAGAACGAGCAGAGCAATTTTTTTATTTACCTCTCATGACCAGTGTTGAATCTTTCTCTGGATTATTTCGTTTGTAAACGCGTTTCTCGTCCAGTTGTTCAATTGGGCGCCCATACGCTTAAAACGGTTGAGCAGATTATAAGGATAAAGTAACATCAAGAAGAAGCATTTTAGAGCATTGCTGAATATATATCGTAAGAGTTATCGATACTCGATTCATCCGTGCTCGAAAAAGTAAGACTCTGAAAACCAACCAAATCTAGCTTGCTACAGGGAGACGGATTTGTACATCCCGTTTCTATTTTTTATTGCTTTTTCGACAACAAGCTATTGACCACTTCATTAATCTTGCAAAGGAAGAGAGACGTTTATTGGTTTCTTAAACATAGTGCGATCAAAGGAATTGCAAGAATTGCTGATCCTCAAAAATACTCCCATGAGTTCAACTACGTCTTAAAAATAATTATGAAGATCCCCTTGGACTCGAATCCCAGATATAGAGAACCCTACTCAAGTAGAAAGAAAACGACAGGGAAAATCGCTCATCGTTGACCTGGGATCTGAACCGGTGCCTTCATGACCGGCTCATGGTTAGCTACTTTCTTCGGATTTGGTGCAGTGAAGACAGCGAAGATAGTGTATTTTATGAAGGTTTTTTAGAGTGAACAATGTTAAAATTGCACTTCGTTCTTACCATTGATGACGGCACAGCACAGTATCAATGCAACTATGACAACTTTCATGGTTCCCTGAGTGTAAGAACGTGTCTTTCATTCAATTTCCATTCAGATGCAAGTGAAGTACGTAACTTTTAAAACAGTGTAAATGATCACCTAAGTTAAGCGGAGTGTGACTCATACATTTTAGCAGCGTTAAATCTAGTTTCAGTAGCGTGTTTTGAGCGTTTCAAGGTTACGCCTATCCCTATGAACAGTTAAAAGACGATCCCACATAATTTCTCTCCAGTATTTTGTCAATTTTCCTTGAAAGTTTAATGCCATCCATTTAAACTCCTGGCTGAAAGAAGTTGGTGTCATTAGGAAATAGTAACATGCTTTTTAACTTTTGTCTCGATGTTCAGATCACGGCAAGGAAAAAATGTTCTTGGAAAAAGATCATCTTGTGAAAATCATCACAACCATCTGAGGCGTTATAAGATACACTAGTGAACTTACCAGTTTGCAGGGTCAGATATCCGCTAACTTAAAATGTGATTTATGATATCACTTATCGTCAGCCTTGAACTAAGAATGAAGGATGTGGACCTGTTTATATCACAGCAACCAATGAATTGCAACCACGGATGAGACAAGATATTCAACAATCTGAGCATGTCGGGTCAATAGCCTCCGTAAAACAACGACTAGTCAACAAGTCAGCAATCTTTCATGGATGAATGTCCAAATTCTCCACACATTATTAAAACATTAAAAGTGGATTTAACTAGCGTTGCAAAGTATATATCTGAGAGCCTTTAAGGCAATATAGAAATATGTTTCAAACTAAAAAAATAAAAATATGATCAGTTTGCTTCCTTCTGCTTTCAGTTACAATAAAGTTTTAAATATGGAATAGTTTTTCATCGGTACAGCTACAGGAAAGCCCTCAAGACTAGTGTTTGAGCAAGAAACTTTGTTATGGGAATTTCTAATTTTACCACAATTTGAGATGACAAGCAAGCAAGCATATTTCATACATGAACTGTTATGCCTTGTCATCTAATGTTTTTGTTGTGAGAGTGGCCTATTCTTGGGTCCGTTAAATATTCATTGAAAGATTGTATAGAATCTATGAAGAGAGAGCCTTTCATATTGTTTTCGGGTGGTATCTTTTGTTATGCTAAGTACTTACCTGTTTGTAAGTTCTCGTACCGTGGGCTAACAACACCATCGCGAGAGCATTTTACCTGTGCTCTCTCTAGTGAAAGTTCGTATCACTAATTTGGAGTTGGTGCAACCTGATTGCTTCAGATGGTGCCGATTCCAGTGTTACGAAGCTGTTTCAAACCATGTTTCATACCACGGGGAAATGCGTAATTCTCTTTATGTATGAAATAATTCCACAGCTCTGGAGGATTAGAAGATCTTCTTCACATGTTGAGCTTCTAACGGGTCTTAGATTCCTTCACTGCTGGCAAATTCTTTCTGTCAAGAACTCTTCACCCCTAGCATCAGTTTCTAAGTAGCCAACGGGTAATATACGCGATGCTGGAAACTCAGCACGGGTTAAAATACATACGCTCGGTTCACATGTTCTTAATCCCGTGTGTCATATTTATTCCATGAGTCACATGCGAGTATTCTCCATTTCCCAGCCAGAATTTCATTTCAAAAATTTCTACATTTTTACACGGGACGTTTTCCTTGCATCAATATTTTCTTTCGCTAAAGGTAATTCCTCAATTTTGCACTGGTAAATCCTTAACTGCGGATAAAAATCACGTAATCAGGCGAATAAGCGCGCGCATACCGGGAACACGGCACTGTTTTTTCAATAAATGGACCAGGTAAAGAGGTACAATGGTCTGAAGCTCTTGAACGAGCACGATGACCTATATTTTTTTACTGCATAATTTTGGTGTACAAATTATTCCCTTTAAATTGGACGAAACTAGAAAAAAAAAGTCATCGAGGGGAAAAAAAGATGTAGCTAATTGAAAAGCCTGCACTCAATGATGCAAATTATGACCTTAAGGAACGTGTTGAGTCGATGTCGTTTAAAATTGCGTGACTTTTTCCACAATTTATGGATAAAATTTTTCTATATCCCCAAGACTTCCTACCCATCGAGTGTTTTTTTGAAGTTTAAAGTGTATCGTGAACCGATGAAATGACGCGCGTGATTAGTGCCCGTAGAGGCATAAATACGGGGTAAGTTCGGTACATAATATCTCTTAAACAAGCACACTGACCTAAGTATCTTTTTAGTTACATTTTTCGAAACAGACGTGAGTAGAGAAAATCGAAGGAAAGTTAAAAAAAGATGTTCGATAACTTTTTTTTTTCTCGAGGAAACACCATACATTTGGTGAAATATACTTACCTCAGATTTTTAGGTGAACTTCAATCAGTTTTTAATCAATCTTTTTTATTCCATGTTTTCTGAGTGGCAATCATTAAATTAAATCAGATTTTAGAAAATAAAAAATCCACTGCTTCGCAGGAACTGCGCGTTAAGCTGTCCAAAGCTGGGAAAGCTAACGATTTTCGAATTACGAGTCATTTCCCAGAACTGGCTTACAGTCAATAAGATTTTTTGTGGAGCTACTACGTATCTCTTTTCCGAGAAAAAAATAATCTTTTGCATCATTTTAAAATCTAGGGATTGTATTACAAATGACACTGCGTTTAAAATTTTACATCAACATCTGGAAAAACTGACCAACCCGCTGTCTATAATTGTAAATCAGTCCAGATATGGTAATACATGTAGAATTAATATCATTATCATTCCAAGCTGCCTGAAAGCATCAAATCGTCCGTTTGGGCTGTTGTTCAACAAAGGATCGAACAGAAAAGCTTGGGTAAGTCCTATGAAGTTAATTTCCTGTACTGTGAGCTTAGGCTTTGTGTTTATAAAACTAAATAGTATCCCTCTTACCAAGTTAGTCCTGATAATAGACTCTGTTATGAATTTTGTCACGTAAGAGTGAAGAAACCTCCCGCTCACCACTTCCGTTTAGGTAAACAATTGCTTTTTCTATGCACAGTGACCGATGTTTTAGTCAAACCAGTTCCTCCACTTGATTTAAGAAATTATGCTACGTGCACTATGACATTTAAGCGTCTTGTTAAGAGCATTTTCATATATATATATATATATATATATATATATATATATATATATATATATATATATATTTCAGTACAAAAGATGCTAAGAGAGCCAAGCCGTGGCAAGCCTCCCTTCCGCCTTTAGGCCTATTTCATTGAAATGCCATCAAACAGGCAAAGCACTAATTAGTTAAGGATTAGAGTCAAGCTATATATACAGCTATGTGAGAAAATGGTGGATGTTGTTAAGTGATTTGGCACCGGTAATGTTCAAAATTTATCCCATGCCGAATACGTCAAGCCAATACTACCAGCTTTTTCGTTTGAGATGTTATTGTAGCAGGCATCGAAGGGGCGAGCAAGTGTGCGTCGAATGCAAATACTCAACATCGCCGTCGCTTCTAATAAACCTCTATTTCCTTCTGAATCCATGTTGAACAACTTATGAAGTCTGAATTATGAGACATGAGAGGTAAAAACTGAAAACCAGATTGCTAAGCGCTTCCGCCGAGAACTTTCGCTTTTATCACCTGAAGATTTGTTATTTAGTGTGTTCAGTTACGTGTAAGCAGCGTCTATTGCCGATAAGGGAAAGCTAATAATCTACCGGTCGATTTTAAAGAAATTTTTGGTTATTTTTATGGGCTTCTAGTTAGGACATCTAAAACTTTTTATTTTGCATTACATCACAGGGATTCTAGCGAGAAGAGGTAATTGCATAGGTTTCACTATCATTTCCGACACACTCGAGTGAATATCGCAATGTTTTTTTTTTTGTTTTGTTTTTTTGCATATGAAAGACGTATTTAGTTCGGTGATTTATCGTCACCTGACATGAGAGGATCTTCATGAAGTTAAACAATCGCCGTAAAAAGGCCAAAAATTAAATTATCCGTTGGGAAAAACAAATTGACAAATTTTAACCGATAGTTTACCGTAAAAAAAAAAATTAGCGGTGACAACAATAGAATGATGTTAACCGTTAGCCGTAAAATGGTCAAAATTTTAACCATTACCCCTAAAAGCCATCACCCCATTGAAACTCTCACATAAGGCTGTTTAATTCCAAACCAGTAGCTTATACACTGCGACAACGGAGCTCGTGTTTTCTTAAATATCTTCTGTGTTGTCCTTCGCGGATTGTCCATAATTTCATTACATTATTCATGTAATTTCGCAAGTAACTGTCTAATTTTGGTTCTGAGACAAAACTCTTAACCTAATAAGAAAAAGACACAATCGGTTAAAACGTATTTAATGCTCCAGCGTAAAGGAAAATTGATCCTCCGTGATTGGTTATTCCTGTAAGTTAATCTGTATAAAACGTATACAACAGGACAACTTCGAATAAAGACTGTATTACAGAATAACAATATACAAGACAGCTTTCACGCATTCCTTTTCATTTTCCTTTTTGAGTTTTCATCAAGAGTTCAAAGTTCAATTCGTGGGGGGTAAGAAACATACAAAAATCCACGTGACACTCTCGGTCCAGTTTTCAACATAATCCTTGATTATATAATTTCCATCGTAAAACCCCTCTTATGAATTTTCTGTTTTCTAGTCTTCTTTCTCCAGTAAAGCATGACTACTACAGCTAAGGGAAAGGGTTCATCCGTTGTGAAAGAAGTCGTAGACACGATCAACGGGTTAGGAATATTTCCAAATGATCATAAGTTCCTTTGCCGCATAGCATGGGTGGAATCAAAATATGGTGAAGACCCTGGTACATACAGACGCGGCTACCATGGAGGTATTTGGCAGGTATAGGCTTAGCATTTAATTTTCTCACCTGAATAAGATGGTTCTAAACTACTATCGTGAATAACTCTCTAACCTCTCCCCGGCTTTGATGAGAATGTATTTCCCTTCGAAAAAAATTGATACAAACTTTCGAAATCGGGGGTAGATCTAAAAATAGTAATATTTTGAAGAATTTCCAAGAGAATGTTAAATGAAATTCTTCATTATTTTTCACATCATTTAACACTGGCAAATGGGCTTACAAAGCCATGCAACAGTTCTCTATGGATAGAGCGATGTTGCCTTTCCAACATTGTCTAACCTTGAATGACCTAGAACATATTTTAAGTAATGCACTTTTGTTGCGTAGGTGGACGAGATTGGATATCGAGAGACTGTTATTCAGAAAGGTCTGAAGAAATATTGGGACAAAATCGAAGCCGAGCTTGATATCGACTGGACCAGTACAAGTTGGGCAGATTTGGAAAAACCGCTGTACTCTGGATTGGCTGCCAGGCTCTTCCTCGCCAGGCTTTCCGCACCTATTCCAAGGGACTTGACCGGTCAGGCTCAGTACTGGAAGACTCACTACAATACAGAAGCAGGAAGTGGAACCGTACAGAAGTTTATTGATGATGTTAAACACGCCAAAGGTTGCGCTGTGTAAAATAAATGACGAATCTGTTCAATAAAAGACCATAAAAATTACCAGTCTGCCGCAATAATACGGGCCATATGGTATTGTAAACGTATTTTTATTTCTATGATAGATGCCCTGGGCGAAATACTGGTGAAAGACGAAGGAAATAAATGTAGTCAATAGCTCAAATTCATTTTCTCTTCCACAGAATGTCTATGTTTAAGCATTTCGTCTAAGTGCTCAGAATTCATTGAAACAAAAACTTTTATTTTTAAACTTATAAGGGACTTTTCAAACTATCAAAACAAAGTGGTCGGCATTGAACTGGATGGCAGTGAAATACTATGATTACTACCCGGCAATAAAGTGGTAAGAGCAACTGATCTCTCCTGCTGGAACTGAAAGGGGCATAATGTCATCAGAATTTCAAGAGCCCAGATAATCTGCTGGCTTGGCTCGAGTTATTTTCGAACCTTTATGACCTCGCATATGATTTTGGAAGGAAAACAACCACTTTGAGCGAATTCATGGGGTAAATGGATTTGACCGATTATCATCAAATTTCGCCCAAACGTTCCAGGAATAATGGCAAACGAAAGCGTGTCGGGAAATTTTGATCTTTGAAATATTTGTCTCATGACGTGCACTTACGCAACACGCCTCGCATATTTTTAGCCACCCAAATTTAGATATCGACATCTAGACAACCAATCAGAATATCGCAAAAGCCTGACACACTGTTGTTGATTGATGCCTTGTGAGTAAGAGCGTACAGCTATTTGGCTCATAATGCGGCATCCGATACCCGATAAATTCAATAGAAGAACCCTCGATCGTTTCACGCCTTACCGGCTCCTGACACTTCCTTTAAAAAAAAGTCGCTTAAATTATCTTTTTATCGTAAACTGCATTTATTAAGCTTTCTTCTGATGTATAGTTTGTTAGGATTTTAGTAAAAGTAGCGCGCATACGAATTTTTTCTCGAAGGACACCCGCGAAGGTGGGAAGTAACCTTAAGTTTGGAGAAAAAAAATCTTGAGTCAAAATAAACATTTTGCGTAACTGGATGTTAAGAAAGGGATTGTCGTGATGTAAGTACGTTTGCGTTGAGGCGGAAAGCACTCGGTAGCTCATCAATCTGACAGCGGAAAGATAAGACACCTACATTTTAAAGCATACTTCAATTTGACAGTTGAACCTTTCTCATCAATACGCGATTTCCTTTCTCAGAACACCAAGTCATTCTGCCTCATTCTTTTCGCTGGCTAAAACGAACATAAGTCAATATCAAGCGTTGGATTTTGTTCTTGAGTAGCATGGTGTTATAATGTCAGACGTGTAGATCAAATGAGGCCAGGTATGCTACGATAATTAAGTTTTCCGAGCTTTCGTCGATCTACGGCATCATCAAGAAATGTAGATGGAATCAAGATTCCATGATGCTGTAGATCGGCGAAAACTCGGAAAACTAAATTATCGTAGCATACCTGGCCTCACCTGATCTACACGTCTGACTTTATAAATCAATATGATCAGCTATTTACCGGAACATGTTATACCAAAAGTGAAACTGACAACACCTGAACATTGTGATGTTGATGAAAGAAACACTTCGCATTGATATCAAAGATGAAAGCACGAATATCACGTATCAGGTTAATCCTTTCATCATTTGCGTCATCCGTTTCAGAAACGTGTCATCTCGAAACCGAAAATTGCAATATAATCGTTGTCAAGGTCCATCGGTCATATCATACCACCTCATTAGTCAACCAATCATTTTTTATTAGGATCAGTTATAAAAACAGGAAAGAAAATAAAATTATTTCATTAGTTCTAGCGTGGGAAGAAGAAGACCAGAGGACGCTATCTGAGGTAAGACGAATTTTATGTTTAAGTAAGCAAAATGCACGCGGTTAGATGCGAATTTAAACAGCAATTTTCGCGATGTTTACTGCTCGTTCTATAACTAGGGCTCAGACTTGATTCCTGATTAACTCACTCAGACACGAACGGCGAGTTAACAGTTTTTTAATCAGCCTTAAAATGTAACAGAAATTGGCATTCGAGCATCGTAATTAAAATTGAGGTTCTGACCTACAATAGTTACCAACGAATATCTTGCATTTCCAGCATCGGCCTCTAAAAAAAAACAGGGCGAGCAATGCAGACGACATTCATTTTCTTATTTGCGATTTCCCCTCAGAAAAATTACTAATTAGCAATAATCTATTTTTAAAAAAAAATTTCGATTTTCCGACTAGTGATCACATTCCGCAAAATAAATACTCTAAGTAACTTCTAAACAATATCTACATTTGCTTGAGTTATGGTGAGAGGATAGGAGAATCCATTAAATACTTCATTTAAGTGAACGCCTTTACAAAACGTATGTAGACTTTCACATCTGTTGGTCTGTTTATTCTAAATCAAACATGTGGTATTAACGTGCCTAACCGGCGCAATTGGAATGATTAAATCAAGCTTGAAATTGTCTAGATAGCGTTATGAGAGACCCATATTCAGTATACCGTGACTGACTTTTGAAATTTTTTAATGCTTGAGATTTCAATGTCAATGTGCCTCTACTTGTGAAACTATGATCGAAACAGAAACAACTTCGAAAACAAAACACAACGAAGTTATTGATAATGAAGTTTGATCGTCGGGATTCAATTATTATTATTAATTTCATCTTATTGTTTCGGTCCAAAAGGAGACCACGTGAACCACTACACAGGACACTGCTACCCACCTCTGCTCACCGTTGTCGCTACCCTCTTTCGTACTCATCTCTTTTTCATTTCTTGAACATTTTTCTTGGCAGAACATGCTTTTGACGATCATAGTCTTCGGTCTCGTCGCCCAACATTTTTAGGCTGTGATGCTGACTCTCCTTACACCCCAAAAGGAAAAGGAGGCGATGTGGTTGCCGATGTTGTAGAGATGATCAATAGCTTGGGTATATTTCCAAACGATCACAAGTTCCTTTGTCGCGTTGCCTGGGTCGAGTCCAAATATGGAGTGGCGCCAGGAACGTATAGGCCATCTTATTACGGGGGAATTTGGCAGGTAAAGATATTGGTCCGGGAAAAGATACCTACAGTGATCTGAGACTCGGTTGGGTAGTGATGAGGGGGAGAGGGAGGAAAGGGGGAGGGGAGTGGGTGTAGTGGTATTCATTTAATTTCCAGAGAGGAATACGAGGGGAGTAGGCATGCGGCATGATTACCCAATTATGATGCTTGCAGCTCTCTCGGAAAGTCTTTAACAAATGGACTATTTCCGTACTCCCCCAATATCCGGCACAGACTATAACAGTAACAAACCGATTGGAGGTGCGTGTTTTTCTTGCCCCCTCCTCCCCCCCCCCCTTCCAATAACACAAACCTCTTACGGCCTTTTACGGAAATGCAGCATCGCTAAACAGTACCAATTGAGAATAAAGGGTGTAAGTTACTAGAGAAACTGTGGTGCTGCGTCGGTGGGATAGTATAACAGGGTAATTTAGTATTATCAACTGAGTTGATAACGTAAATTGGCCACCGTAAAGGCTAGCTTTGAGGCTCTTTACGGTGGACAATTTACGTTATCAACTCGTGTCGCCAGAGCTGATAAATATGTACTTCATTTGATGGGTTAGTATTTCTCGTTCTGCCTCTATGTCGTGGGCCAAAGCGTTCAAGTCTGCTAGCCATTCGAGCTCGCACGCTTGACAGCTCGAATCTCACGCGCTTCGCCACTCATGACGCAGCGCTGAAGAGAGCCTGCGCGCAGGTCATAGCTATCTTTCAGGCGCCACCTATTTTTTTAATCCCATTCATAATACCCTCGTCATAGGTGGACGCTATTGGCTATCGCGAAACAGTTATCCAGCAAGGCCTTAGGAAGTACTGGGACCGAATTAAGGAGCGACTGCATATAGACTGGGAAAAAACTTCATGGTCAGATTTGGAAAAGCCGCTGTACTCCGGATTGGCTGCTCGATTGTTTCTTGCCAGGATTCCTGCTCCTATTCCAGCTGACCTTACTGCTCAAGCTCAGTACTGGAAGAAATATTACAACACTTCAGCTGGGAAAGGAACCGTGCAGAAGTTTATTAATGATGTTAAACAAGCTACAGGGTGTGCTGCGTGAAAAATTCCAAATGAATCATCCTATCTGTAGCTTGCAAGAAACTGATAACAATATATTAAAGAGAAAAAATTATCATGTAAATTAATGGCTTTGAAATTGAAATTGTTTCTTTTTTTAACTAGTATTTTTTCTTAATTAAGTTTGGATTTAAGAATTCAATTAATGTTCTTAGCAATTGGATGATCGGTTTGAAATTTAACTATTGCCTATCGCTTGCAAGGTTAGTTTTCTCAGGTCAGACACTTCTGTCCAGTGAGCATTGATCATGCTTCAATTAATTAAATCTCAATTTCCAGTTACTGACATTGTCTCATATTATTGGAGTCTTCCCCTCTCCCAACATACATGACAATCACTCATTTAGTTAAGCACTTCTTTTAAATCTCCTCTCCAAAAGCTATGTTTATTTGTATATGCTAGAATGCCAGAGAAAGACCAGAAGCCAAAAGGAAGAGTACATTTATGTTTTTCACCCCTTTCGATGAGACCCCAAACCCAAGTAGTCTTGTGCAGATTTTGAAACATCTGAATATAGTGGAGGTTGAAATTGAAAAACCCACAAATAGCCATAGAAAATTCACATCAGGAATAAACTTGAAGATAGGAGGTCCAAAAATATGCAAGAGTGGGAAGCTGAAAAGGAGCCGAATTTTGTAGCAAATTGTATTTCTCAAAACATTGAAACCTGTGCTAAAAGGGTACCAACTGGACTCTCGGAAGTGTTCACTCCCTATAGAGTGTTACCGAATACAAGTTTACTGTCATTGTACAAGTAATCATTGGTTGACTAATAACCCAAATAGAACAAAGTGACTAGTCAACATTTCAAGTATGACCAATTCAGGTGGACAAAAAAATTGAACAAAATTATTTACCGGAATAAACATTTTAAAACTCAATAAAGCTCAAATTTCTGTTCAAGCCATCCACTTAAATTTGGTTTTGTGTAGAAAATAAAAAGTAATTTTGGTGTCTGCCTTCATTAAAAGAAGGTTTCAGCTAAGGAGAGATTTTATGCAACAGCCCTCAAGAGAAATGCAGGTAGTGATCTATAATCATCCCTGTTTAAAACTCATTAATCATCAACAAAAGTTCAGTGGTCAAACAACAGTTAACTGACAACCTGTAATTGGACCAACCAATTTTGTTTTTTTTTCCTGCTCATATCATACATTTTTAATCTGTAAATATATTACATTGAGGACTTAAAAAGTTCAAGAAAGAACGTTGCTATCTTGAAAGCAATTAGAGACTTTTTGGTCCTTACAAAAGTGCCCTAACTAATGAAAGAATACTCAGTAACATCTCAGTGTGAACTTTCCACACCATTGTGCTGTCTTAAAATGAACAGGTTGTTTTCATTTCATAATAAACTCTTTCAGCATAAAAAAAATTGTAGAAAAAATTGGTTAGCAGAACTAAAACTCTATGCGCTCTAGTCAAGGCTGACTCTTTCATGCTTCTGTATACCTTCCACTCATTGTCATTATCAGATCTTCCATAATGTTAAAACCCTGCCAACAAAACAAAACTGAGCTGGGTAAAATAACCAAAAATTTGAACATATTAAGTTAATGAGAGGTGATAGGTAAGCAAGTGTGATTTCTTAATTTTCTTAAATTGATCTTTTTTTACCTTGTTTGCTCCACGTTGAAGAAATGACTGTCCAAAAGATTCCATCATTCCTCCAATAAATGAGCCGACACCATAAACACTGATACTACCACGCTGCTCAAATGATGTCCTGCCAGGGGATATTTAATAAAACATGGTTGGAATTACACCAAAATTAATAATTTAAGACCATACAAAAATACTCTTCTGATCTATAATTCTTCCATGATTCCTCCATGGTTTTTCAAGGATTCTTCAATGATTCTTCAATGATTCTTCAATGATTCTTCAATGATTCTTTAATGATTCTTCAATGATTCTTCAATGATTCTTCAATGATTATTCAATGATTTTCCCAAGATTCTTCAATGATTTTTTAATGATTTTTCAATGATTCTTCAGTCTCAGTATCTAAAAGTACATGGTTCAGGAGAGCAAGCAACTTAAGTTAAATGTATTAGTCATATAAAAGTGTTTTCTCAATTTGTATAAACAGAATGTAAATGCTTTGTTTGAACTACAGTAGTATGTCAATATGTTTTCACATACTTAAGACTAAATGAATAAATTGCATGTATTGCAAAGTAATATTTCACAGGATTAAGAATGACAGCTTGTGAAATCAAGAGTGAGAACAAACAAAATCTCTATTTTTGCTATTTACTTTGTTTAATATAAGCAAATGTCTTTCTTTGAACTCATAAAGTAGCTTTAAATGTGTATCACTAGTTTTGAGTAACCAACTCTCAAGTATCCTCCCTGACCTAAGGGAAAACAAGTGACAAAAAGGATGAAAAAATGGTGGTTTTAGCTGCACTTTTGCATTCAGCCGAAAGCCCCATCTCATATACCTCTTGCATCATTATTTGTCCCTGAGAATTTTATTAATGTACGTGAGGTACGTGACATACCAGTTTGGATTGTTTTCACATGCTTTAAAAGTGCTGAACTCTTCCAGGGATGCATATTTAGACCATGTAAGGCTGTAACTATGAAGACGAAGACGTCTCTCCTTACTATTGAGCCATGCTTCCTCTTCTACTTGAATTGCTGGGAATGGACATAGCTAGAAATAGAACATTTACAGTAACAACTTTAAGTTTTGTTGTAAGGTAATTTATTTTTGTGGGTGCTTGAAATATTATTAACCATCTGCTGATTCAAGAAGTACATAACAATGCTGCCATAAAAAACAGTCTGAAGTGTCTCTACATGTAATGGTAATAGGACTTAGTGGAGTTCACTTCAGTCGGTAATCATTTATTCCAAGTGATTAACAAAGTCAGATGATCACAAATTAAAAAAGTACAGTAATAAAAGTACATGAGTGAGGCCAAAATGCTTTAGTTTTTTTTTAACAGACATGCAAGAATGATAAAATGTTTAAAAGTATAGGTATGAACCAAACCTGGACTTGCAGTGAGATGGGAGTTCAGACCTAAGAACTCTGTTTACAAGTAATACAACTAATGTTAGGAAAAAATAGTTTTGCGCATTGTCATCCAAGAACAATAATCAATGTAATGTGCAATTGTATAGTTATAAGTTCATACCTTTTTAAAGAAACCAGGCAAAACATTCACACACTCTCCTCTTCTTAACATATATTCTTCTCCAGTTTCTGGGTCTTCAAGATCACAAAAACAAAACAAAATGTAACCAACTTAATCACAGCAAAAAAAAAAACATAGTGCAGAAATGAGAATGTGACTAAAGTTGGGGAAACTACCATCTATGACCCTCCATGGGAATTTTCAGGGAATAAGGTGCATGCATGCACACAGCACACTCGTGCGCTTAAAATAAAAGAACTAACTTTTATCATGTTAGCTGCGTGTTGGTTACTTGCCTCATTAACTTTGCAGCTATTATCTTGCTTTGTACAGTAGAAACAAAAGAAACGTGTTAAGATCTTGCTTGCAACTTTGCACAATATCATTTTATAACACACCAGTATTAAAGTTAAAGTTGCTTTCCATTTGTACAAGAAGTACATCCTAAGCGGTACAGCTTTTTAGCTCATCGATACACCTAGCAAATTGTGAAAATCCTGAGGGAAAGAGCCATGATTTACCGTAAATGTTTCCTTTTTTATTACAACTTTTGACTTGGACAGAAGATCTGCTTATATTCTGTACATAATATACTTTATAAACACCATTTTCACAATTGAGAAGCTGACAAACACATGTAACAAAGTAAGGTGGCATGCACAAGATAAGCTTGCCTGTTAATGAAACAAAGGAACTTAGTGTGTTTAAAAAAAAAAATCTACCATGTTATAGAAACAAATCTCTATCATGTTATAGAAACAAATATGAACAATGGCTACAACATGCTTTCCAGAATCAATAGTAGGTAAGTCATGCCATTAGCATGCAAGCATGCTAAAACATGCCATGTGCATACGTTCACCTTATTCCCTGACTTCCTGTGGAGGGTCACATATTGTAAATAGTCCTGTATGCTACAACTGTAAAGTACTATAAGTGGGTAAATTTATTAACTAGTCTATATGATACTATATAGAATATGACACCTTCAATAATGGTACCAACAGAAGTTCATTAATAAAATGAAGTAAAATCAGTTTTGGCCATTTGTAATGGACCAGTCATTCTAAAAATGACTGAGGCAGTGTCTCTATCAGCATCTCTATCATTAGAAACACCACTGAATCAAATGAACTGCAACAGTAATAATTATTAAAAGGCCATTTCAATGTTTTTCCTGATACCATCTGATATAGAAAATTAATTAATTACATATTGTTCAAAATAAACAGCCCTTGGAGACCTCAGAAAAGTGGACTACAGCAACATAGACTACGTACCTGTTTTGTGTTGCAACACTGTTATGGAGGTCACATTGGAATCCTTACCACATGTGTACTATTGTTGAGCATACATGTAAACACAAGTGTGCGCAACGGTGAGAAAAAGAAAAAGAGGCAGTCACTATCAACTCCTTATTTTTGTACAACTGTTAGAAATTCGTTACATTGCATGAGGTCTAGCATTGAAATGTGCACATAAAAATAAATGTGGCGGTCAAAAGTACAGTAATCACAATTTGATTCACAACGTATGAGTTGTTGAGTACTTTAACCTTTTAGACATATTCTACATTTTATTTACAAATTTGCATTCTTCTGCTTGGACAAAAATTTCTTAATTGTGCTCTGTACTTATTAACACACATGCATGTACTGTAATGACGTATTTGAACAAACCTTTTGAAAGTAGGCACTGATCACTTTCTCAAATGGATGTTTAAAAGTATGGTTAATTTCAACATGCCGGACCATTACCGCAGAAGATCGCTTCCGCCATGAAAAAGGAGTGACAAAAATTCGTGCGATAAAGCACTCACAAGCACGATTCTTCTCTTTGTCAATAAAGACGTTAATATATTAAAAGCCGTGTAATTGGTCCATTCTCCGGTATAAGCCAATCACAACAAAGCTTATTTCTGTTCCAACATGGCGGACGAAAATGATTGATACCCGTGTTTCAGCCTTAACGAAGACTATAATTCAAAAAGGAACTGGACTAGAAACACCGAATTATGGAACATTATGTAAAGGTGACGGTTTAAGTCACATTTTACGTTTTATTTGATTCATCTGCAATGTTTAATTGTATTTTTAAATATGCTTCATCGCAGTCAAACTGAAGATTTCTTCTCCGGATGGTACAATTCTTCATAATACCGAGAAGGAAGTAGTTATAGGCGAAGGTAAGTTATCTATGTATGAGTTTGATTACTTGGCATGTTCAAGTGTATTCCCAGGTCACGAATCGCCATTATCATTATTCAAAACACTACATTAAATTACAAGCGTTCAATTGATCCAGCATGTAACGTTGTCTTGTTTGCATGTAACGTTGTCTTGTTTGTTTATATAGTTACAAAAATTGTACCACTATGTCCTTTTCTTGATAATACCATTGTTAATTCAGTAAAATACATAAAATGACAATTTCTCAGATTAAGTAACTTGTAGCTGACTGAAAAAAGGGTCATGTCAATTAAATCATGCATTTATTGAATATATTCTATCTTTGAGTTTTTTTTTGCTTACTTTGAAGGTGACAATGAGGTATCTGAGACCTTGGACAAATGCCTTGAGTGTATGCATGCTCAGGAAGTCTGTTCGATACCTTTTGATGATGAAAATTTGTGCCAAGAGCTTGGTATTGTCTTTGAAAGGGATTTAAAATGTGAAATTGAACTTCTTTCCTTCTCCAAGGTACAGTTTACTGTAAATTCATACATGCATATACAGAAATTTCCTTAGTTATCATCTTATAGAGATGCTGCTTTTGGAAAAAAATTCAGGCTTGTTCTGGAGTTGAACCTATGACCTCTACAAATTCTTGTGCAGTGCCTTAACAATTAAGCTTACAACTGAGCTCACAAGCAAACAAAACCAAACAAGCCTGAATTTTTCTGCTTTATTTTCACTATTACTTAAGAAGTGTTGTTAGTGCATGGTGATCACTCTCATCTTCATTTAAATAATCAGCAGTTCAAAGATATAATGTGTATTATTGGCAGTTGTTTATTCATTACTACTGACACAGATTTATTACAAACAAACAAAATGACCAGCTCCCAGTTATTTTCACTACTGCTTATAGGTGTTCATTGCTTCTAGATTTTTGCCTGTGAAGAAAACCCTAAAAAAATCAAATACTTGTACCATCCCGTTTATTCTGAGATTCAATCAGTGTGTTTCATTAGGTAAGGTCAACTCAAAGCTGTGCACCATATTTCTTGTACAAAGGCATGTGAAGTAGAATGAAATTTGAAAAAAAGTTTTCTGTGACTATCCCATGACCTAAAATTGTTAACCAAAGAAACAAGCTGAAGGGGTATACATACTATATTCAAAAAAATTACTGACCAGAACTGTTTTTTTTTTATCCAGAACAATTGGTATCTTAATTATAGAAAAATCTCAACACATGCACTTCACATTCCTCCAATTTTTTCCTTTTACTTTGGCAGGCAAAAGAGCCTTGGGAAACTACTCCAGAGGAGAAAATGTCTCTTGCCAAACACCATAAAGATAAAGGAACAGATTGTTTCAAGGTTGCTTTTCATTTCCCAGTTCATTTTGTAAATGTTGACACACCTCGTTTTTTGCAGTGTTCTCTTAGTTCACTCCCTGACTGCTTTGAAGTGTTGTTGAAGAGTAAATCACACTTATCATATTCCAATCATCAAATCTGTTCATATTTTAGTTATTCAAATCCAGGGACAGGAACATGACCTAAATGTATGTCATGTGTGGCTTCTGTATGTTGTTTGTCAGCTGCCTTATGTTCAAAGCTTCAGTTTGTCCGGTATGAACCATCCCAGTACTCATGCATGTGGACATATGTGAACCTAGGGGAGAATGCTGGGGGTGTGTAAACCCCTCTCCCTCCTTAAATTACCAACTTTACAATTGAACAAAATCTTTTGTATCATTTGTCATGTAATATCCTTAAGTTCACATTAATTTATGTTACTGATTACCTAGTCATAAGCCTTCTTTTGTGATGTTTGCTTTTAAAAACTTTGTAAGGTCCCCCAGTCAGTTATGTCCTCAATGTTGAACCCCTTCGTTAGAAAAATCCTGGATCTGCCTCTGGTGTAACTGCTTTTGTAATGTTTTCCTTATGATTCTTTTTTATTGGTATCCTTTAAGTCTGGAAAATGGTCCTGCGCTGGAAGGCGTTATAGCCAAGCCCTTAAACAGTTGATTTTGATCAACAATACATTGTCTGAACAGATGGAAGAACAGGAACAACTGAAGGCTGCTTGTCTTCTCAACTTATCTGCATGCCAAGGAAAGCTAGGACAGTATGACTTTGTAGCACTTAACTGTACAAAGGTTAGAACTGAGTGCATTTCAGTTGTGCACTTTGTAATAATGACTTAGTACATGTCACATGTACAAAGTTATTTGTAGTAACATTGCTGGCTGGATAGCATTCCAGATTGAAAACCATTGTCATGCAACCCATTTAACTACATGTAGCTAATTTGGGAGCTTAAAAACTGTTTTGTTTCACAGAAAGAAGGAAACAAAAAGGAAAGGGTTATTTTCAAAGGGGTTGCTACAGATTTGTTGTTAATACTGTTTAGTTAGAATGTTAAAATAAGGGCTTTCTAGTTTTATTGTTTGACATCAAGCACGTCAGAAGTACATGTAGTGTAATTCAAGTTGCCATCAATCACTCAAAAATTCCAGTTTTTTATTTAATATTAATTTTTTGTGATACAGGTTTATAGTACATATTGGTATTATTTTGGTTTTAATATTTATTTGAACCTGTACTGTAGGTACTAAGTCTATGGCCAGAAAATATTAAAGCTCTCTACAGACGTGGACAGGTGAGATGATATTATATACAGATGTTCTTTTCCACCTAAATGGTTGATTTACTTGTTGAGGTTATTTGAAATGTTGTAAACATTGAAAAGGCACTAGCGCACATGTAGGCAATCTGAGTTGAAACGTGTTTTAAAACATTGTGTTGCGTGGTGTTACTGCATAACGTTTATTTAACAAATAGATTCCAAGTTGCCGTTCGTCTGTTCAGTAATAGATCACAGATGATGTCAAAATGTGATAAGAACAAAGACGTGGCACACGAGGCGCAGCCGAGTGTGTCACTGATGTTCTAATCACATTTTGACGTCCTCTGTGATCTATTACTGAACAGACGCACGGCAACTTGGAATCTATTTGTTTTATATAATAAAGAATTAAAAAAAGTTTTAATGATGACGTCATTTATATGTCTGTCCTCCAATAAATCATAGGTGAGAACCAATCAAAATGCGTGCATAACTGAGCTTATTATATAAAGCGAGATATCTTAACAAGTTCTTCATGCAAAAACAGAAAAGCTACTTTTCAAATACTGTTTTTTGTCTTTATTTAAAATGTGCACAGTTGTACTTGATTTATTTTGGTAAATAGTGTCGTAATTCTCCATAGGCATTTGTTATCTTGAATGAGTTTGAGAAGGCAAGAGGGGACTTAGAGAAGGTACCGTAGTTTACATTAACGCAGGGAAGGACAAATAAGTTAATTGAAGAATGCCATTCCATGAGAAAAAACGGTCATTTAAGATCTAGAATCCTGATTTCAACCGTGACATGTTGGTCGTAGTTTAGCGTACGTAATCGTGTGAACGTCTTTGAGTTGACCTTACCTAATGAAACACACTGATTGAATCTCAGAATCGGGATGGTACAAGTATTCGATTTTTTTAGGGTTTTCTTCACAGGCAAAAATCTAGAAACGAGAGAGAGGAATGAAAACTACGTGTCAGTTAAAAAATAAGCGTGCAGTGTTAGGGCTCCGACGTCGAGGATCAATTTGCAACTCCACAGCTCGATCTCTGTAAATTTGAGTTCAATACGAGTCAGGAAATTTCCATATAAAGCGAAGGTTAACCCACCTAAAATTAATTAACTTTCTTTTTCAGGCTTTGACACTTGACCCGTCCAACAGAGCAGTTCAATGTCAACTAAGAATTCTAACGGAGAAGGAACGGAAACACGATGAAAAGTTGTCCAAGGCATTGGGTGTGATGTTTGGACGCAAAAAGTAACCGACCGGCAGGACTTCGTTCGCAAGATTGGGAGAGTCTCAATGCGCTAGAGTGTGATTTTTCTCTAATCAGTACTTACGCTGCAACGCATTGCTCAGTAAAAGATTCGTAGTAACCCACAACATTGTACTTGTTTTCCTCTCTGTCCTTAGTTCAGTGCCCAAAACATCAAACATTTTTAAGACAAACTCTATCACCTTTCCGAATTTCGAAGCCGCAGAAGAACCTTAAACCTTCCTATTTTGTGGTCAGATTCTCCACCAACCTAACTTAACTCTCAAAGAGAATGATTCCTTGTTACTTCTCCCTATAATATCCATACATGATCTAGCGAACAGATGATGATATTTTTTTAACTCAAACTGAGTTGTTTATTTTGATCTACCACCGAATTTTGTAAGTAATGTACAAAGAAATGTGTAAAAGCTTCAGGGGAGAATTAACAATCAGATCTTGGGAGTTAAGGGGTTAACCACCACCCACACCATACACGAGGGTGCTATGTGACAAATGTCCTGTGAACGGCTACCATCAGCCAAAGCGAAAGCTTCCTGTGTAGGCATTGGGTGAGAAAACTCTGAACTTCGTTGTTTTATACTGTTGTGACTCGCCCTTCGCGTTTGCTGCTTTGCGACTGAAAAACACACAAAAAATCTGTTGCCTTTTCAGCATACCAAAAAAATTAAAGTCAAACAGAACATTATGCTAACTTTGCCCAAACAGTTAACATTCTGAGTGAGAAGATTACGAATATAAACATAAAACTTCTATGGTGATCGATACCGTCTCATCAGGAATCTTAAATTATGCATGTTTGTCAAGAGTAGAATGCTATCGACGTCATTTGGATCATTTTATTTGTCAGTAAAGTCGCGAAAAAAAACTGTGATTTCTAATCCTGGTGTAAGTCACGACCGGTTGTGAAGTGTAGCAGCAATTTTTTTATGATCTACTCTGCTAGTGTTGATTGCCGCGTACGAGTACAGTACTTTAACTAAACTTGAATCCTCAACAGTCTTCAAAATCTGTCACTCAAGTTTCCCACTCTTTCCTTGAGAATAAAAATTAACTGCACATGAATTTTGATGTCAACCAATTTTCTGTCTAGGATGGTTTAGTCTTTTTCTCGTCTTCGCTTGGAGGTGATAATTTTATTTTGAAAGCCGGTAACCGGTTGGTAATGCCCCTCCATTCAGAGACAATCACAATCTCTCTGCTTTTCTAGTCGGAGTGAGAGAGCTTGGGAATGAACCTTTTTAGAGACGCGCCCGCAGTATAATTGCGGCTTTTCGCTGTAAGCCTTCCTCTCTTTGTCTCTCTCTGCTCGCCAACTGTAATAAAATGAGGTAGGAGCAAGTGCAATCTTCAATTTTTGTAGTTGTTATAAGGCCATCCTAAACCAAGTCATGCAAAAATGAATTGGAAAAGTGTTGCTAATTTTGAAGTGTGAAGTATATGGTTTCAACCATTTCATCAAGATTAAATTTGAGGAGATTGTGGAATGAGGAGTTAAAGGCAAAATGGCGATCGATCATTGTAGCAATATGAAGTAGTCGAGTGTTGTCGATTCCTCGAAGTATTGAAGAGCGAAATTGACTGTGACCCGAATACCCTTTTGGTGATTGAAAATCTCTTGATCAACTGAAATCGAGTTTGAAGGTGTTGCATTATTCGAGATTTTAGATACTTAAATCCATAGACTTCTTTCTGTGTTTCACTGCGTAATGTTATTTAAAGTAATCCCTTAGCAGTTGAAATTGATCTTCAATTCCTCGAACGGAAAACACTGTTATAGTTACAGTAGTCATCAAGGTTACAGTGCATCGCACGCTGATGATTCTTGATCATCCTGAATATTCATTATTTTGCTTGCCTGTAACGCATCTACGTGTAACTTCACAAAACTTGCACTTCGCAAAATTTGAAAACTTTAACGACAATTGATGCAAGTACGTAACTAAAGAAAAGTAACTTTCTTGCTTACTTACTTACCAGTAAGCTTCACCGTGATACACTTTATGAGTGCTGTGGTGCTGTCCTCCAAGGAGCTAAGGACAAGAAAAGGAAGTTTGTTGAGACCGTTGAGCTCCAAATCAGTTTAAAGAACTATGATCCTCAGAAGGACAAGCGTTTCAGTGGAACCGTGAAGCTTAAGAATATACCTCGACCGAAGCTCAAGGTCTGTATTCTTGGTGATGCCTCACATTGTGATGAGGCCAAGGCAAATGACATCCCCTGTATGGATGCTGAAGCTTTGAAAAAGTTGAACAAGAACAAGAAACTTGTTAAAAAGCTGGGTGAGTTGTAGAATTTGAGTCTTACATATTAATTGAACGAGTTGCTGTGACTTTTGTTTTTTTAATTTGATAATTGCATAGTATCCTTAAACATTAAGACTCTTATGTTGATGTGTTAATTTCAGCCAAAAAGTATGATGCTTTCCTGGCCTCTGACAGTCTCATCAGACAGATTCCTCGTATCCTGGGACCTGGTTTGAACAAAGCTGGCAAGTTTCCCACAGCATTGACCCACAATGACAACATGGTGCAAAAAGTAGAGGAAGTGCGCTCCACCATCAAGTTTCAAATGAAGAAGGTAGGATCTTCACCAGAAATAAGGCACAGTGCTCATGGTAACGCAGTGGTTAATGTATACATATGAACAGACAAAACACTTCCAAAATCAGACAACATCGGTTATGCATACGATCTTGTCAGCTTACATACATGTACCTCAAAGGTGGTTCATTCCCTCAAAATCCTGTAAACCTAGGGATTAATCATTTGTGGCAAGTGGCTGTTTTTGTTAGCATTGCAATCACAGCACTTGCATGCAATGAGTCTCAAAATGTTGTAACTTACAAACACTTTTCATTTTCATATGGAAATAATTCAGTAGTTAAATTATCCTTTGAGCACTGGTAAGGCCTTATATTCTGGAAGACCAGGAAAGTTTTCTGGTCGGACCTGCACCCAGGGTCTTAAATCTGTGGGGAGACCGTTTGGTCGACAAACAGCAAATCACACATTGACTCAGTCACTATAGCATAACTGTAATGCACAGTTAATGTATTTGAAAACTGCAAGGAATTCTAGGGATGCAATGGGTAAAGTTCAATTCATTTCTGAAATATAGAGGTCTTTTTGATTGGGTGTTCCAAACTAAAACCGTGTAGTCACAGTGGCAAATCAGAACACAAGAAAAATATTAAGGAGCTTTGATATTCAAATTAAATAATACAAGCAAACTGGCCACGTCAAAGCAAACTGTGATTAACCAAATCATGGTTAGTTTCCAGTTTAGGAGGATAGTGGAAGTTTTAGGACAAATTACATTTCAGCACTATGTAAAAGCTATGCAGTCTTAGATTTCTTCTCACCATTTAATTGAAGACTGTTCTATGCCATATGCTGACTTATGTTTACAATTGTACTGAGATTACTGATGCCAGCTCTCTTCGCATTAACTGTTTTACATTACTGATGGTCTTTAGGTTCTCTGTCTTGCTGTGGCTATTGGTCATATTGAGATGTCTGATGAGGAACTTGCAGCAAATGTCTATCTTGCAGTCAATTTCTTGGTGTCTTTACTGAAGAAGAACTGGCAAAATGTACGTGCACTCTATATCAAGAGCACCATGGGAAAACCCCAGCGTCTGTATTAGGCACTTGAGCAGTACATGTACTTTCAGTTGTACTATGAGAAGTCAATAAAAGTGCATTGATATGTTAACCTCTGTCATTTGTTTTGATGAAGAGTAGAATTTAGACTGCAGTTGGAAATGCAGATGAATCAGCCTTTCAAAAACATATTCTTAATCTTTTTTTGTTTTCCCTTGTGGAGCTTGCCGGAGACAATTACACTTATGCAGGCTTTCCTAGCGATAAGGCTAAAATTATTTGTTTCATACATTGATTGTTATTCAACATCAAACCTGGTTGAGGTCATTTAAGGTTTTCAGCAAACTTGGGTTCAAATTAGAGACAAGAATAACCTGGAAAGTATACACTTAAGGTCCTCTGTAATTACAGTTTACATACTCCTAATATTTTTTCCTTCTTTCACTTCAATGGAGACCTCGGTTGTTTGACAAGGTAACTTATGCCAGAAAAGAAAAACATTGCCTGTACAAGTCACAGTTGTGTGTCGTGGGATTCCCTCCTTCCTGATTCTCTTTTAGTAGCTCCTAACCATGTAACTCCCAAGATATGATTGTAAATTCTCCCTCTAGCCGTTACACACTTCCTTGTAAACAACATAAATTAATTTGGTTTTAGATCAGGATTTAAACTTCTACCTGATACATTTGAGTACTCTCATAACCTGTTTGCTGGATAATGTAATTACTTAGGGTTAATATTTCTTAGGGTTATTGCTAACCCTAAGCAATATAATAGGGAGAAGTTTCATGTGGATCACCTCTGGGAGGTAAAGGGTTAAAGTTTTTTAAATTTTTCTCTATATTATACTTACATAGGTATTTACACTACACTTCTTACCCGATGCTTACACTACATCAACTTGCCCTACTTACAATACATATATTACAATACAATTACACTGGTCAAATTGAATTACAGTTGATCTATTTACATTATTTTTTGAGTCATTAATAAGAATTTTGTTCGTTAATTAACACTGCATAGGGTTTTCATTTTCTAGAATTTAATAGATTATTAAATAAATAGGTAGCGAAAAGAAACAAATCAAAATACAAAGGTTGAGAAGAAAAAGGTCACAATACAATTTTAAAAAGACAGAAAAAAATGTCCATTTGTTCCAGAATTCCTTCTCCTTATGAGAAACTGCAACATATTTTTCTAGATAAATTTTTTCAGGCGCAAGTGAGACAAAATCATTGAACTTGTATGTTATGGTATTTAAAGCGTTAACAGATAAGAAATATTTACCCAAAATAATGAGATGGTTGAGGACCAAACAGTAGGTGTGACAGCGAATAATTCCGAACATAATCTCTAGTTCTGACAGCAGCAGTTTCGTATTACTAGAGATCATGTACCACTCCTGGAATCTATTCCAAAAAGATCTTGCGTACAAAGTTTATAAACAAATGCTACAGGGTCTGACACTCAGAAGGACAAAAGGGACAGGAGGGCGAGGCAACTTTTTTTGCTTTGTGTAACAAGCTATTTGTTGGTAAAATTCGGTGAATGATTTTGTATTGGAACATCATCAATTTAATTTCTCTCGTGGCTTTGAATGGTAGGAGGTAGATTTTAGTCAAGTCACTTTTCTTGACGCCAGATGCTAAAAGTTTTTTCTCAGAAGTTGGTGGAGGTAGATCTTCAAGGTTAAGCAGCATACTGTATATTGTCTTGCATGACAGTGAACAGATGGAGGTGGGAGGTGTAACTGGGTCTTAGGAACCTTCTTGCGATAGTTTCTTCCAATTTTGGGAAATAGAAGAAAGAATGCTGTAATATTGTAAAAAGTTACATTTTAAATTGAATTTATTGCCAAAAGAATTAAATGGAAGGAAATGGCCCTCACAGGAGTCAAAAAGGTCCGAGATTTGTTTTATTCCTGCTTGATACCAATGAGGAAAGAATACCATTTTCTTATTCACAGTTAAAAATCGGTTATTAGAATGTATTGGCTATGAGAGAACCTCACTTTTATTTTTAGGTGTGGCCGTTGCGATGTCCTGCCAGTAAAAAATGATTTGTTTGTAGAAAGCAGGAAGATGGTTGTCAAGGAGATTATAGTCATAATTACATTTAAACAGTTGTGTACCACCAACATCAGCTAGGAGCGATTTTGGTATGTACTGCCATGGAGCATCCGAGTTAGAGCATAACCGTTTCACTCAGTTTAACTTAAGCGCTTTGTCGAAGAGAGAAAAATCCTTCATGTCCAAGCCACCAGCTGTTTTTTGCTTGATAAGGGTAGTCTTTTTTATTTTGGCGGGTTTGTGATTCCAAATAAAGTCGAACGTGATCTTTTTCCTTCTTTACTGAAGTCTTTAGGGGTGTTCATGACGCTGCAGATAAAGACCAGTTTTGAAAGTGCTAATATTTTAATTATATTTATCCTACCAACGATGGAGAGGTCTCTTCGGGACCACATGTTCAATGTTTTCTTTAAAGATCCTAAAGTGTGCGTGGTCAGCCATATTTACATCGTGATAAATTCCAAATCATCCTTTATTTGACTCTGCGAATACCACAAATACTCTACAAGCTAAATTACTTCCCTTAAAATCGGAAATTCTCACGTACGCCTACGGTAAACAACTTCAAAGAATCCAGTAAACAATCATTTTCAAGAACTAGAACGGTTTTTAGAAAAAAACAAATTATAATGTTTGACGGTAGATGAATTGTAAATTGGAGGTACAGTGGTAAAATAGCATTCAGTTTGAATATTCCTGGGAAAGAAGGCGTTTAAATTATGACTTGTCGTGTCTGTCTAATAACGTGAAGTGACATTCCCACACAACACGTCCACGTCATTAGCCGGAAATTGCGTCAGACTCTTCACAGGAATGAGCGAATCGAGTAGAGGCTACCACAGGCCAGTGATCTGAAGGAAAATCAGCTAGTCGTACAAAACATTTGCTGTTCAGTGAATCTCTATAAAATATGCAAGATCTTCGATGAAATTTTTTAATGTACCCGTCGGGAGACGGGTTTTGGTTGGTCTAAAGACAGTAAAAACTGAAAAGCACAAAAATAAGCTCCTTGTTAGAATTTTTTAAAAACTCACAGGGACCAGTGGTGAAAATGATCAGCGTTTACCAGTTGTATCTGAAGCGAAAAAAGGAAATCGATGTGAAGACGGGTAAGAACTGTCAAGCGATATCTCCCATAGTATGAATAATATCCTCATTTAGGAGTGAACGTAGATTAAAGGGTTCTTTCAACATGAGAAAAGACTCCATGAGGCGTGTAAAGATGAATGGTGTTCTAATGGTTAACTTACAAGTTAAGAAATTTTGGTTAACTCTTATTCTCTGTTGTAAATTTTGGGCTTTCCACAAGTTCGCCAGCTTTGGAATTTGCGAAGACTTTCGATTGGTGAGGTAATAACCATTTGCCCTAAGCTGCAAGCCATTCGGTACATTAGTAAAATAATTCACGTATCGGTGAAAGACTCAAAGCATTGAAACTATTTTCCCTGTCAGGAAGCCATGGCCTAACTGCCACTTTAAATGTTGCTAAGTGCTACTGTTTCCCCTGGAATATCAAAAATTTGTCGAAAAAATAGGAAGCAAGATACGGCAAGCTGATTAGAAATTACTACTGGAAGTTGAGCATTAATTTTCAGTCAATTTCGAACTTGATATTTTTGCTAATACAATTTTTCATTATGTAACATCACATCGTTACATCTAATGCATGCAGTAGTTTATGTATTCGCATAATTTCATCATCACCTTGGTTGTTAAGTTACAACTGGTTCAACATCAGAGTTGTACTAAAAAAATCAAAATATGTTAGTAAAACTGGCCTCAAAGACCTGAGTCAATAATGGTAAGAGACTTACTTAAGACAGCGATAGGGTAAGAAGAGCCTTTATAAATAAGTGAATCCCTATCAGGAAACTTTCAGAAGTGTAGTGAGAGATTAAGGATCCTTATTATCCAACTGAGAGTACAAATGTCCTGCGATATTGTACGGTTATTTGGATAATTGGCTTTTTTGTACGGTAAAAAAACCTGTTTAACCAGTCGGCTGCGCGCTATGCTTCTCTATCCACTTCATAGGGCTTCTTCCGCCTTATGAGAAATGAGCAGAGTTAAGACGTCACATAGCATGCAGAAAAAAAAGCTGTTGTTTGTATTTTGACTCTCCCTTCGGGCTCGTCAGTCAAAATACGGCACAACTCGTAAAAATACTCAGCTATACTACACACCAAAACGTCTAATAACCTATATATATTTCTGAATTTGCCAATTAGCAGAAAGGCCAATGAATATGTGACGGGGATCAAGGGTCAGGATCTTGTTTTGTGGAAAAGAAGGACATACAGATGTAGCGAGTGAATGCCTTAGTGAATGGAAACTGATTGAGTGCGCATAAATGGTTGGGAAATTGCTTTGGTAGGAAAGGTGAGCCAGCGACTAAACTCGAAGCCATGCTATATTCCAAAGTGATTCCTCGTGGGGCCCTTTAAGCAGGTAAATCAATACAAGAGTTTGAAAGGACTCACAGCACCATCTAAGGAAGCGTTTTTTTTCTCTCAGTGTTTGTTTATCACTGCTGCTCTACTCGGGATTGGATCGTCAATGAGGTTTTACTTCATTGCTTGGTCCACCCGAGTATTAACTTACCTGGCTGCTCCTTTATTGGGTCTTCGTCTCTCTGCCATGTTTGTCAATGCGCTCACAGTTCGGAGCAGATCTTATTGGAGAAAACTAAGTGAGTAGAGATACCAAGTAAGAACATTTCTGACTAAGCGTTTTTTTCCCATTGAATTTGGGCTATGAAATAAAGGTTGATATTCGTCTACAAAGAATCTAGATCAAGAGAGGGTCGAGAAAGGATACTTGATCTCCTTCAGAGGCCTTTATTCAGGCTAATCCTTACTAGTCAGTTCTTTTATTGTAGTTTTTAATGCATTATCGAAATAAATCAGTGGTTTCTTTAGTTTTGGTTTATTTTGTTCGTAGACATGTCCAGAAAACTTGCACCACCTGCTAAACCAATCATATTCAACACTAAAATAACCGCTACTTGGTCACACGCCTATTCTCGCCTTCACTGAAGTAGTTTGCTCAAAAGAATATAGAGTTACATAATACCGTTGTTGCGGACGGCGCTAGGTAATAAAACCAAAAATGTCGTATTTCAGATTTGGCACACTCTGCACCAAAGGATGTCCCATACGTCATTGATTTTTTTTTACTCTTCTCCTTTGAGAGCACTACTGGTTTCGTATCTGCTTTCATGGGTGACACGGCTTATCTTATGAGAAGAACTGTTTTCGCCATCGTCCAAAACTTCTTTCCTGACGAAAGGTATCTTTTTAAAAAAACACCAATTATAATACAATGTGGTGTTATCGACTTGGAACTTATCAAACCTTAGGGTTGCCGACCACAGTCTTTAAAAAAATCAGATTTCATTTTATGGAAAGTATTGCTCGAGGAGACTGGAAAACAATGCAATTAGTATTTTGTACACTGTTGGTTACTGACTGACATGGAAAGTGTTCTTAGTGTTACCATGTATACTAGGTATAACGTGCAATTGAGACATTCGACCCGACTCAAAGTTGCCCCTCCGGAATTTATAAAATTTTTTTCTGAGAGTATTTAGTAGTTCCAGTTGATAAACTTTCAGTTTCATGGATCCAATTTTCAAAATGTTGGAGGAATGTTCCTCCGTTCTTCTAAAAAATTAGTCGCGCTCGGTGAACTACACTGCTATCAAAAATGAGGAAATGCATTGATAAGAGGTGACTAACAGATCACGAGCACATTTCTCTATTACGGCGAAGTGTTTGATGATCATCTACTTTTAATTGCAGATCGTCTGGAGATTGCCCGGAGTGCGGCAGTTAATTGCGATACTTGTTTTCAATCGTTCCAGGGTCTTTTGCAGTCTTTTGACTGCTTTATTCTTTCAGTCTTCAAAACCAATGCGTCACTGAAATGGTGAGTCGAGTACAACCTCGGATAAAGATTCTGCCTCAAAATTAAAAGGCTACCGAAAATACGTGTCTTACGAGCTCCGAACAGCTTATTGTGGGCAATATTTTTGGCGTTTATAAACTGAGCATATTATATTTACCGAGAAAAGTTCTAATTTATAGGTCTACTCTGATTTTTGGGGGCATGGCCAATGGTAGATTTTGGACACTAGTGTCAGATTTAACATTTTAGACGCTAGTGGCCGATTCTGGATTTTGGAAGCTAGTAGCCGATTTTGGATTTTAGACCCTAGTCGTCGAACTTGAGTTTTGGATCATAGTGGCAGAGTTCAATTATGGACACTGATGGTCGATTTTTTATTTTGGACACTAGTGGCCGATTTTTGATTTTGGACCCTAATGGCCGCATTCGGATTCTGGACCCTACCGGTGGAAATTCAATTTTGGACAAAAGTATCTGATATTTGCTTTTGGACACTAATGGCCTATTTGGGTTTCGGACACTGGTGGCTGATTTTCAATTTTGGGCCTCTACAGTGGCCGATTTTCAATATTAAAAAATTAATGACCAAATTCAGATTTTGGTACCTCGTGGCTGAATTTGGACCCTTATGGCTGGTTTCAATTTTGAACACTAGTGGCCGATTTTTGCAGTTGGACATAAATGGCCGATTTGACATTTTGGACCGTAATGGCCAATTACCATCTTAGGACACTAGTAGCCGATTTTTGACTTTGGACCTTAATAACTGATTTTAGATTCTTGACTTTAGTGGCCGATTTTGGATTTTGAACCCTACTGGCGAAATTTCAATTTGGACACTAGTGGCCGATTTTGGCTTATGGACACTAGTGGCCGTTATCGGATTTTGGACCCTAATAGCCAATTTCGGATTTTGAACCTTAGTAGCCGATTTTGGATTTTGGACCTTAGTGGCCAATTCTGGATTTGGACCCTAGTGGCCGCTTTTGCATTTTGCACCCTAGGATGATTTTTGGTTTTGTACCCTAGTAGTCGATTTTGGATCTTCGACAGTAGTGGCTGATGTTGGATTTAGAACCTGGTGGCCGATTTTGGATTTTGCACCCTAGTGGCCGATTTTGGCTCGTGGACGTTAGGGACCGATTTTGGATTTTGCACCTTAGTGGCTGATTTCAAATTCTGAACATTCGTGGCCAAGTTAGATTTTGGACACTAGTGGCCGAGTTGAGATTTTGGAACCTCTTGACCGATTTTGGACATTAATGGCCGATTTTGGATTTTTCACCCTTGTGATTGATTTCAGATTTCGAACACTAGTGGCTAATTTTTGTTTTGGACACTAGTAGCCGAGTTAAGATTTTAGACCCTCTCAACCGAGTTTGGACACTAGTGGCCGATTTTTAACTTTGGACCCTGGTGGCTGAAATTGGCTTTTGGACCTTAGTGGCCGATTCTTCCTTTTGGACAATAGTAGCCGATTTTTCCCTTAGACATTAGTGGTCGATTTGAGATTTTGGATGCTAGTGGCCAATTTTGGATTTTGGACCATAGTGGCCGATTTGAGATTCTGGACCTTAGTGGCCGATTTTGGCTTTTGGACACTGGTGACCGATTGTAAATTTTGGTCAATTATTGCCGATTTTGGATTATGGACACTAATGGCCGTTTTCAGATTTTTGGACCTCCGTGGCCAATTTTCCATGCTGGACCGTAAAGGCTGATTCTAGAGTTTGGTCATCAGAGGCCGATTTGAGATTTTGGACCCTCGTGTCCAATGTTTTTGATTTTCGACACTAGTGGCCGATTTTTGAGTTGAGACACCAGTGGCCGATTTTTGAGTTGAGACACCAGTGGCCGATTTTTGCGTTGGGACACTAGTGGCCGATTTTTTATTTTGGACACCAATGTCTCAAATTTTAGTTTCGTACTCTAAACAGTTGTAAACAGTTAAGCCTTCAGCCTCAGGCCATTAGCACCAAAGCTGTGTAGTGCGATAATCTTTGATTCACCTGAACAAAATCGACGATCAAGAAACTGACAAAAGCGGAACAATTAATAGGTTAAAAAGGGGTATGGAGAAAGTGTGGACTTGAATTGTGGAAGTGAAACTCCTGGTATTTTCCAGTCTATTAGAAATCCACTCACTGAATGTCGGCCACTCGAGCATGTGCTTAACTGGGTGAATAACTTTTCTAAAAGCAGGTAAACTTGATCTGCAAAACACATTTCCACGTTGCCTTGCGTCTTCTCTGTAATAGATCATAGATAAAGTCAAAATGTGGTAAAAAATAAGTGATACACAATGGGCAGCCGAGTGTTTCACAGATCAGTCTTACCACATTTTGACGTCTCGTGTTATCTATTATTGAACAGAACCATGGCAACATGAATATTTTTGTCTTTTTATAAGATAAAAATCAAAATGTTTTCAACGGTGACGTCATCCAAGTTCCTGTCCTCCAAGAGAGGGCGGACGCAATCAAAATACATGCATAATTCAGCTTATCATATAGAATCTTTTTTCTTCAATTAGAGTTGCGCGGAACATGAAGATGCCAAAATTGCGCTTTGCAGATTTCGGAAAAAGCCTTCGAATCACTCTCCTAGAATTTAACGTTTCTCCTATGGAGTGGGACACGCACTGAGGGAGGACATATGGCGGCTCGTTAACTTGTTCAGACTGGCTTTCTTCTTGAAAGTACTTGTAACTTTTGTCCTGGATGTCAATGGCTGACCATGTCGTACACTGCCATACCGTACACATTTATGGCGCTGGCTTTAGCTCTCGTAAATATTGGTCACCTTTCACTGGTCCCTGCAATTACTTCGCAATAATTGCCACAGAATTTCAATAAATTCTAATTACAATAATTGCCACAGAATTTCAATAAATTCTAATTACAATAATAGCCACAGAATTTCTATCTTAGCTGATTTTTTATTATTATTTTACAAAGAACTGGCTTTACATTCATACTTGGCGTTCTTATTTACCTTGTGGCATGACCACAATGCATGATCGTCTGTCACCTGAAAACTCCACAGGTTTCACAGTAAACGAAACTTGACCTTGAAATTAATTTTTCACATCACTAAGACTATCTTGCACACGCGCACGAGTCGAAATTAAAGTAATGTCATTACGCTTTTTATGTTTGTGAGCTGTTTTCGTACAATTATCACCAGAATTATAGGCAAGAACTTTAGAGAGCGTTGATAATTTTTTATGTGACAAATTGCTTTAATTCTGTTTCTCAGGTTGGATTTTATATATAAGTGAATCTGATGCGATGAACAAGACATGTCTTAAAACTTACTTTGTACTACATTTTTATTTTACAGCGTGTGCTCGTCAGTTTGTTCTCATACATCTCGCCTTTATTTCGAATGTCATAACAGTGATTCGGTTCGGAATAGACTTGGTTTTCGGTCTAATCTTTCACGCTGTTAGAGTAGATGGCCCCTTGGAAATTCAGAACCACCAAGGAAGTTGTCAGGAAGCGCGGTAGAGTTCAAGGTAAGAAAATTGTTCATACTGTTTAAATATGCACAGACAAGGTGAAGAGTTGATATCACGTGGCCGGGCGAGGATATTAATTTTGCCTTTGAAGGTGAGCGAATGATCTTTCAAATATAGACAATTTGAAACACAGTTCAAGATTAAGGAAAGCAGAGTATAACTTGCACATAAGTTCAGCTCGATGAAATGCTATTTTATCTCCCAATATTAAAAATGATCAAAACAAATGCTTTTTGCAAGGAAAAAAAAAAAAGATTAAACCTAAGTGTTGTTGATAGGCGATAAGCCTTTCAAGAAAGGTGAAACTGTCAGGTTTAAGAAAGGTCTTTGAAAAAACTTTGCATCTATTATTTTAGCCCACTTACCATGGCGCCTTTTCATTCTCACACGTGGAGATTTTGAAGTGAAGTTTGGTGTACGCGGTGAAGATATCATGTTTTGAGAATAGAAAAACTTTGGTGTATCACTGATATCGCTTTATACTTCAAAGACCTTTCTTAAACCTGACCGCTTTGAAAAACCGTGCTTGGAATCTTTTTAGATACAATTTGTCTTTCTGTACAGAGAAAAAGTCTCTTTGTTCCATTGGGTGGCGTTCAACTATCGATGATGTACGAAGTAGTTGATGAGGCACGTGGTAACGAGTATGTTAGATGAATTTACGATTTGAGTTTATCACTCAAAACATTGAAATGACACTGATATCTTTTTCCTTCTTTCTTCAAGATTAGAAACGCGAGGAACGAATGTGCAACTTGTTCGTAAACAGTCTGAAGACAAAGGGGGAAACTTTTACAGTCAAAAGCGCTGAGAATGTTGAAAAGAACAGAAGCATGGACACGTTTCCGATGCGTTTTCTTGACGTCTTGTTTTCTGACGAAGATGACAAAAATAACACGCAAGAACTACCTTGTGACATAATCGCTTTGACGAAAAAGCCATCAGCAAAATGTCAAGGGCATGAATACCTAAGAATTCAGAGGAAGAAGAAGTGTGTGAGAACGTGTAACAAGCTGCCTCAGGAGCGAAAAATAAGCCTCATCATGAGCATTTTTGACAAACTTGCGGGAAACAGTAATGATAATAAGACGAGTTTACCAAATTTGCCGAAAGAGATGGAAGACAATGCGGCGAAGACAGATTCCGACTCCCACAACAATTGTGAAGAAACCTCTTGCTCGTCAAATAACAGTGAAGATTGTTCATCGTCATATAAAGAATATGTACGACAAATTTATTTCCAGAACTGTAATGATAAGAAACAGACTTCGGCGCCAACTTCGAGATTCGGTTCAGCGAATGAAGGATTTGATGTGAATGGAACAGGGCTGATATTATAGAAGTTTCCAGTATCAACCACTTTGAGAAAAAAGAACTGTACAAAAGCTGGAGAAATAACCTCCGCAGCATTGGAGATTGACGGTGTCGAAAATGGTGGTAAAGTAGTACATCAATTGACTGTACGAGCGTGGTTAAGGAATCCTAGTATTTTGATAAATAATCTTTCAATCGTCGCATCATCTTAATTGTGGGTATATTATTTTAGCGAGGAGTCAATTTCGTTCAAAAGAGGAAACCGATCGCTTTACTTTGGATGTATTCATTCTGGCTTTGGTCATTTTCGTTTTCCTTTAGTAAATAATTTTTTTCTACGGACTTATGAACTCTTCTCTCATGTCACCTTACACTTTCGAAGGCTGTGTAGATATCATTTCAAAATTAAAATTTCCCTTATTCTCGACAGTTCGCAATCATTTTCGCGTGTGTACAGGATGTTTCTTATTCCTATTTACCACAATTTCTTACCGATACACCGAAATTTGAAAAGGAATGATAACACCTACAATAACAGCTAGTCAACCGTCAGTTACTCAGTCATTCAGTCTATCTGTCCATCGTTTATTCAGTGAGTCAGTCAGTTGGCCAATCAACCTTTCTGTCAGTTAGTCAGCCAACTGTCTCTCAGTCAGTCAACCTGGGTGTCAGTTAGCCAGTCAGCCTTTCTGTTAGTCATTTAACCTGTGTATCAGTACAGTTAGTCAGTCATTCCACTTTTACTAGCTGTAGTTACCTTCTCCATTTTTATGTTAACAGCTGCCACGGAGTCTGTTCAACTTGGTAATTTGATTTCTTGATTGTTACAAACTTAAAAACCATAGTTGCTTTCCCTTTCAGGAAGTAATTGCTTATCTGCCTCTTGTTATATTACTAAGTTCCATTGTTTCCAGTTGAATAATAAGTTGAAACAAGGCGGAAAAATAGGAAGAAGGGAACGGCAAGCTGTTTCATGCTAATAGTAACTTTTTCTAATCACGTAACCTACCTTAATCTTGACTATAGTGAGAAAGGCAGTGTATATTGAGTGATGTTAGGATCCAAACGAAAATGGTGATACTAGTGAGCGACAGTTTTGGAATTGTCTCACAGAAGCCTTTATATAGCGACTTGAAATCGTCGTTAATTTATTGAAAAAAAACATGAAAAAAAAAGAAAAACAGCCCTAAGATTCACAGGAAGGAAGGAAATGCCAGCTAGGCAAAAGTGAATAATATTGCTCATTTACTTCGCCAATTTCATTGCCATTCTTCCAGGCATCAGAGCCGCAAACCAAAATGATTGAAATTAAAGCATATCAACTTGGTGAAACGTCTAAGTCAGACGTCAAATACAAATTGAAGAGAATGTGTCGGAGACCTCATTCGAGGTGTATTCTCCATCATATTATTTTTAGATCACTATGGTATTTTAAGATCCAATGATATATTCATTTTTTCACCACAACGCCTACAACGCCCTTACGCTGCCTAATGCGAGGAGCCACTTTCGTCATTGTGCAAAAGCTCTTTCCAGAAGAGAGGTATTTACTTAAGGCCAAAATCTTCACTACCTTAACATTTATATGGATAGGATATCATCGACTTGGAACTGATCAAACGCTGACATTTTACAAGTATTCTTAAAATTTATTGGTGATTAATTGCGTTGTAAGTTAGTCTCCTACAACAAACATTCTCCTATTACTTAAATCAAGGTATGAATCAGCTTTCAAGACTACGTGCACATCCAGATTTTTCCGGCCACGACTAATAGCATTATCAGCGAGACCTTTTTTGTTGCTTGCAGTTCGTCTGAAGATGGCCAAGAGTGTAATGCGCGACACGTGTTTTCAATCCATCCAGTATCAATTGCCTTACTCAGCCTTCTGACCGTTTTATTATTTCAGTCTTTAAACGCAATATACGTGGGAAATGATTAGTGAAGTAAAAGTGAAAGAGAAAATTATTTTCTTTAATAAAACTTGCATGGAAAACGAAAATTTCCGAATTGAAGAAATTTCTTCGCCTGTTCCAAATACTTCGATCGTTTGTATCAACAGTTTGATATCACTGCTATTCTTGGTCTTAATGTTTTAGAAATAACCTCTCTCTTGATTTGATTAGCGTATGTTTGTCCACCAGAGCAGCAGTTAAGTTACATTTACTTAAACAAAAACATAGAAAACAAGTTTTAAATTACACGGCACGAAAAAGTTCTGCACCGACAACACTGAAGGATCCATTATATGTTGAATCAAGGCACCGGCCTATAAAAGCTGTTTAGAGTTTAGACTGTGCTAAAACCGTTGCAAAAAATTATCATTGATATTTGTTTGTTCCTTTTTGCTAATTAATCTTTTTATTTGTTGGCTTATGATCTGTAGTTATAAATTGAGATTGGCTTGTTGTTACAGCGTTGAAAGTAAATGCCACTTCAAAGAGTGATGAAACAAGACAGGGAGTGGTGATCTCTTAGTAGAATCACGGAGCAATCATAACAGCAGTGTACGGGACAAGTGTATTCTATGAAGAGAATATGGTTTTTTCATGTTCTCTTGGTTTTGTTTTTGTCTGTTTTGTTTTGTTTTGTTTGTTTTTTTTTAAATAATAGATATTGCATCGGTTTAGCCGCTTCCTTTTTATATTTAAATTTACGATGAACAGTTACTTATAAAGTGTACACACAAATTCACTCCGTAAGCAAATTCTATTCATTTCTGTTTATACTTTTGAGCTCATTTTATTAGCCATGCAAGAAATCCTCTGACCAAGCCTGTTGGCGGCCTCGTCCTTTTTTGTCGATATGATTTGAACGCTAATAGAAATAATATTCAGCCTTCTTTGCCTCGCGCTCGTCAATAGCATTTAATATTTTAGTTAGAGACAAAGAGTGCATTTGTGAGTAAAAAGTAACAAACTCTGCGCTGCTAAGAAGAGGTTCTTTTCCCTCTATTCGTCTTAAAGGCTTTCGATTCTCACTCTGATAAAAGAAAAAATAATGGTGATATTTTAAAAAAGTATATATATTTTCGTCCAAGAAGTTTCCAGATGATGCAATCTCAAGTTTTAGGATTAGACACTCATATCTAAATTTGTTGAGACTTCAGCACTCTTGTTCTATTGTAAGTGATTGCTATGTTTCGCGTTTCCTTTTTGATTAAAATAGACGAAAGAACTGGCAATGCTGTTAGTCCCAGTGGGGAGGGTCAATGCTTAAAAAAAAGGTCTGAGTTCAATAAAGATGGCACTGCCTGTCTTAATGCTTGACAGATTAGCCTGGAAGGTCCCATAAATATAGATTACATTAGTCAAATTATAGTTTACCATGATAGAGTTCATCGCATTACTCAGCCATTAAATTTTCGACATCTCCTCTAAAAGCGGAAGGCGTGGGCCGAATAAAAAGCAGTGATAAAATAAATTCGGTCCAGACACTTTTCTGGTATTTATCTTGAGAGTGACTTCCTGTGCGCAATTTCTATTTTTTCTACTTTTATAAATTTATTGTTAAAACAAGAAAAATGTGTTAGTGGAGGTAGATTGAGTGAAATATCTAAGTGTCTTTTTTCTGCAGATAAGACTATGATAAATTATCGTCGCAGGTAGCATAATTGTTTAGAATTTTTGCGTGGGAAAGATGAATGAAATCCATATTTACTTTTTTAAAGTCATAGCTTATCATCTCTGGAATATAGAGCGCATTAAAAGAGCCATGACATGATATCTGAACCTTTTTTTTTATGCACTAGAGTGCCTTTAAATCAAAGGGAACCGCAAACAAAGGGAAAACATAATTTCCCAGATGACGAACTTGGAAAGTCCCGACTAAATCTAAGAAGACGTGTGAGTCTTAGCACAACGTTAACTTTTGGTGATTTCTTTCTGCGCGACGCATAAGAAGTCATGGATTCAGCAGCAAGTGGAAGTTGATAGAGTTTTCAGAATACCGAAGACCAATTGGTTTCCTTAATTCTAAATTTATTGGATAAAAAAGCCTAAGAGTCTGTGCTAGTTGCACCTATGCCCAGCTGTACAAAGCTCTTTTTATTTATTTATTTTTTTTTCGGAAAGAAAAACCCGGTGACATCAATATGATTTCTATCGCGGAACATTACACCTGTATGCGTGGCAAACATTTACCAAAGGACGTTAATAGTATCCAGTTTCAGCAGGGAGGGCTGGAAGCGTATACGAAATAGTACTCTCCAAACCTAAGTCATTACCAGATGTTTCTTTTCTCATTCTCGATTCTTCATTTGTTTTAAAAGTCCATTCAAAATTAAAAGGCAAAATAATGAAAATTGAGTATGTTTCGATAGTTGCAGTTGGAGCTATTTGTTTAGTCCCGTTGTCAATCGAATTCTTCCTTTGGTTATCAGGATCATTGGTAGAATCAAATCTTCCTTGAAACAAGAGAAGCAGATGCATCCATTTGTTTGCTTGTTATGTCTAAAAACGGAAGACTCTCTCAAAATAAACGTTATGTGGCCAAGATCTTTCTATAGCCGCGACTGTGCGTTTGATCTGGGATATTGATAAGATAAGGAAAGCGGTGAGCTCTAAGACTCATCGTCTAACCACAAAAAGTCACCGTCGCGGAAAAGGCTATAGTAATTTGATATATGGGTTTTAGGTGACGCATCCATTGAGAGTGTAATTGCCTGAACAAAATCTACAACACTTTGATCTTGAAAGGATCAGTCGAGGGACGTAGGCAAAGGGAATTTCCATAATAATCACCAGACATAAAGTTTTCCATCTCAATTTCATTACTATCACTGTGCAAGAGCTCCGGCTCGCACAATATAAAACGTTTGTCACATGAGCCTGGTTTTAAAGTTCATTTACCATCAGTCTTATATAGCTCTGTGCTAGAGAGACTGGGTAACAAAAATAGGTCGTACTTTTAGTTGGTATTAGGAGTAAGTTATGACTAAATTTTTCCTCCTTGAATGATGCCCTCAATCAAGAACGCAGAGGGTTTTTGAGCCACCATATGCTTGAATTTGATTTAATTCCGTGTGGCCTGCATAATGACCTCTCTCTTACTTCCACCATTAATAATCTTTAAGTACGTTTATACTTATAAAAGTTTTATAATTGTTGCAGCTGACTTTGTATAAAAAAAACCGACGGACGCAAAAGTCAACAAGGCGCTCCATCAAGCAGTCAGTTCCCCTGTGAAATATCATGGGATCCATCATGAGCATAGCTTTCTTTCTGTAGCACTATCCTTTTATCAAAGTATCACATTCAGGCTTAGTTATTCTCTTTGCCCTAAACGTTATTTGGTTGAAGGTCTTCGCCGGGTGTTGGATGCTTTGAGCGAGTGGGTGACACCCTGCTCAAGGGGTAACGTCTTCGTGATTTTCTGCATTGTTTGCTGTTACTTCTTAGCTATTGCACTTTTCACCTGTTCCCTTTAAAGAGCTCCTTTCCTATTGTAGATACAGCCCATCTGAACTTTGCATTTCAGTTTTCATTTACTCACCCTGAAAAAATCTCAGGACCCGGTGTGCTTTTTCGTCTTCTACTTTATGTTCTTCTGTGATTGATCCACAGGGAATATCGCATATTCGTTTATTTGAAAATTTCGGATAAAGGCCCCGAGTGTCGCATATGTACTTACTTAAACTTCATGAAAATTCCTGAGAAGTCTGACAATCGTCCTTAAAGAAGATGCGTATTAAGTTATCAATGAGCTTTTTCATGGGGTGTTTCTTGCAAAATTACTTCAACTTTAACATCGAGACAGTCAGGCAATCAGCTTCCTAGCTTCTAGTAACTTCGATACCTTTGTTAAGTCAAATGACAGCCTTTGAGAGACCCTCAATTGTGATTTGTATGACTACTGATTCTCTTTACTTGGGAAAAATGATTTGTGAAAATTAAGCTTTAAGTTTCACTCATACTTTCACCAGTCCTCTCCAATCTATTTTGAATTCCCGGCCTTTGTGACCCTTTAAGAGGCAGTCCAAAAACGGCTTCTACCCTTTCTGTGAACCGTTAACAAATTACAAATGTGCAGATTCGGGTACCTTCCCGATCAATTCACTTCTTTAATTAAATGTTCCAAAACAATCTTTCCATCAATCATATGCGTTCAAATACTAAATTTTCCCTAAGCCGAATGAATTTTTAATCAGAATATGTGGTTTTAGATAATCCGATAATCCAAGTCTTTATAATCATCTATTCAAGAGGATATCCATATTCTCTTGTCTATTGGATGGAGTCATTTTTGCCCAACACAAAGATCGACTCGTTGGTTCATTTTTGCGCGAAAATGATTAAGTTTGTATTCCGTAATTTGTGCGGAGGTTCAAAGCTGTCATGCAAGACGTATAAGTGTAAATATCATAAGAAATAACCATATCAAACAAACGAAACCTTTCCAAACTCCATATGAAAACAGCCAAAATTTCAAATGGCTTAAATCAATAATGAATGACTGTCTCAAAGACCACTGACAACCTGGATGTGCCGCTCAAGTAACTTTATCTGCTTTCTGTTTTGCAATAAGAGTCAATTCTAAGTCATGTTCGCATTTCTTGCGCTCTTAACGCACGACACTTCGGAGCATGGATAAAATTGGAGTTGGAACTCATATTTAGTTACAGGCTTGATAAGAGGTACTTGTTTGCTTTTCCGGCATCTGCATTTATCGGGAAAGTGACAAATTTTCTGAGGAGCGGTTTATAATGAGGAAATAAATTGCGTCCCAAAGAGAACCAGAAAGATTCATTGTATGAGGATACAAGAGTGAAAAAAGAGTTTGGAAAAAATGCCTAAAAAGTAAGCAACAGTAAATTATTTGTTAAAGGCTGCTTAATGAAAGTTTCTGAAGGATAAGCTGTATAGAGGACCTAATATTATGTAAATGCGGATATCGTTAAGCCATACATCGCTCATAGATATTGAGCGGAATCATTTCAGGGATACAAATGAAACTTGGAAGAATATCACATGAATTTTATCTGAACTATCGCAGCGGGAGAAAAAAAAAACCATCTGATCGGTAAGTGATGGAGAGAGTATTTCGGAGACAGCAGTTACTGAGGATAAAGATCAATCTCTCCACCAAAATTGTTTCAAGTTGAAACTGTAACAAATTAAAAAGTGAATCTATGGTGAAAGAGAGATGTCATGACAATAATTTCAATGTCTTTTGTATACGTTTCTTGTGTTTATTTTCTATTTGTGATATTACGTGGCTGAGTTGATTTTAATTAGTGGGTTTCCGCAGAACTTTTTTTGTTTTTGCACTCTGCTGTGGCTATCAAAAAGCAATGGTCAAACCCAGAGTCATTCATTTTCAATTTATTTCCTCAGAATTTCCTTCAGGGATAAAGCCAAATTGCGTGCGTGCAATACTTTTTTAAATATATTTCCTTCCTGCAGTCCGCTCCTCTATAACATTCAGGTGACGTGGGAAATAAAATTGAAATAAATGTCAATTTTGTGGGCCTTTTGGCTGCATTAGCGCCTTTCCCGCAAAATGACATTGAAGCCACATTTCGATAAATGCTAAAATACACAAATATTCAATTTATGGTAATTACCTTCCATCGAACGAAAGAAGCTCGTGACAGGTAATAAAAAAATGTCTTCGATCACTCAAATGTGGTTGCATATCGCGCGGCGCTGATTTAATGAAAACTGCAACTGAGAAGGCCACATGTTATAAAAGGCTGAACTTTAAGGAAAAGGTTTCATGGTGAGAGCTACTAAAGTGGCAACGAACCTGTTGTAGATGGTGACCCTCGATGCACAGCAGAGGGGAAGACCTTGACATTAATATTGTTCGACAAATTGTGTAGCTGTTTGAAATCCACTTTGAGCACCGATAGCAAGATAATAAAGCTGCGGTTCGACGAAGAGATTGAGCAAGAATTAAAAGATTGTAATTAAAAAAATTGAAACAATTCAATTATGTTATAGGAAGCAAGCATACGTTGAGTCTGAGCAATCGGGGTGTAACAGCGCGATAAAGAACGATATGTTCACTCGCATTGATATGTTGAGCTTCAATTTTGTCACAAAGAAAATCATTTTAGCCGAACAGCCTTTAGTATTCTTTCTGTGGGCATAGAGGTAACAGAAAAGTGTCCTCTCTGGAATGAATAGATAATTCTGCCCTCAATAAACCAATTACTGTCACTGTAATATTTCTGAAAAAAAAATTGTAGATCTTGGACAGATATGAACACAGCGATTGGCATAGAATTTGATCAATTAGTTTAGTTGCTAAAAGTCATAAGTGGCAAAGTCTCACCTCCTGTGTGGCGACAATTCTTATCTTAGAGTGCCAAAACATTTAACGCAAGGTTTATCTTCCTTTCCGAATAAATATTTCAGTAATGTCAATTGAACTTATTTCATTTACCGGCTACAATAGAGAGACCACTAGCAAAGATTAAAACATTAAATTAGATTTTTTTTTCTGGAGAAGAGAGAATGCCACAAATACTGAATTTGAGCAGTGTTTCAAAGAAACGCAATTAATTCGCGCAATTACAACGGCGAAATTATCGGAGAACTTCAAGCTGTGTAAAAGGATCTTTAAAACCAAAACAGAGAGAAAAGATGAAACATAAATAAGAATAAAATTCAAGATTAATTGAAGTGCTGTGTTTCCCACGATATTAGCTCGAGTCAGAGATAAGCTCTCTACGAGATGAAATTCAATTTTAAACTGAACTGATTCGATTACACCACTGTCATGGATGGTTATGCATAATTCATCGTCTTGTGTCAGTTAGTCATTAAATCTATGCAATTAATTTTTCCTAGACGCACGACTTTTCGTAAAATTACAGCATGACTCCTGCTTCTACGAGGTGTTTACGGTATTTTTTTCTAGATATTTCATAGTGGTTCGAAACTCAAAAAGCTTGGTATTCAAGCGCTTAAATACAAACATTAATCTTTTTATTGAGCCCTTCGCTAGATATCCAATGCGGAAACACGAAGGAAATAGCCTAAGAAGATGACGTTGAAGAAAATCGAATACAGCCTTCAGATTGGCTGATGTTGGGGAAAAGCTGAAGCCGTGAAATCTCATTGGTCTTTGTCTTGAGTGCTTGTCAATTGTAAAAAGACAGTTGTTCTTTGCAAGCGAAAGAGATTACAAGCGATTATAAGGACCTCAGGGAAGCCAGCGAATTTCAATTGTTCTGATGTTCCATACCAGGTGAAAGACAAAGTAAACATCGCAGTTGGAGAGCATATTCGCTTAAAATCTGTGGTTTTAAAAGTCCGCCCTCATACAGAACCATCTTGGTATGTGGTGAGACCATAGAATATTAACACGATCTATCCGTTTCTTCGAAGAAGATTAGTTGAAGGTTTTAGGGGCGAGAAAACTGACACTGCGTGAGTAAACTTGGATTGGTTGTAACCGGCAGTTTTGGATACAATGTTCGCAGCTAATCAAAACACATCGATCGCAGACAGAGCAAACAGCGGTTTAAATGTCACATCGAACGACTACGGTCTTATTCTTGAAGATCTGTATCCCGTCGTTGGTGTTTTAATATGCACTGTCGGTTCCATTGGCAATTTTGCTGTTCTCTTCGCCTTCTTAACACAGCGTAAGCTAAGGACAAAACTCAACTGCTTTCTGGCAAGTTTAGCATTTTCGGATATCTTACTCATGGGCATAACTGTGCCTCTGGAATTGGAGTACCATATTCGAGCGAAGTTTATTCACGGCGTTGTCATTTGTGATCTTATGTACACCATCCATTTTCTAGCTTTGTCCTCTTCATCGCTCAATCTATTAGCGGTCAGCGTCTACCGCTATATTACTATTGCATACCCGTTTTCAGCAAAACTAGCTCAGCCAATTCACATCGTGGCATCAATAGCTGTTCTTTGGCTGTATGCTGTGATTACGGCTCTTCTACCCCTGATGGGCTGGCGGTCAGGACCATCCTCAATTAAATACAACCTTTGCGTGTTTATGATTGAAGAAGAATACGTAATGTTCATCCTCACAGTCAACTGGGTGCTACCGGCGGTGATTGTTCTTATTCTTTACGTCATGATCTTCCGCATCGCCAGAATTCATGCCATCAAGATAGCAAAACAGCAAGTCCTCAGAGAGTATGAAAGAATTCGCAGCCCTCTTTTCAAATGCGCAAAAACATTAGGGAAAATAGCCATCGTGTACTTGATATGCTGGATTCCATATGTTACTAAAACCATCCTTTTGCTATTGTATGGCCCCTCAGTTCCCAAAGCGATATCCCTGATCTTCGTTTTATTCTATTACGCAAACTCAGCAATCAATCCGTTTCTCTACGCTGGGCTTTGCACAGATTTCCGAGAGGTGTTCAGCGAATGCGCAAGAAAGGTATACAATAAACTCTCTCTACTTTGCCGAAGGGTCTCCGCATTTGTTCACTCAGTGGTATCATCTCTCTGTTCCGATTCCAGTCGGACTGGAACACATGCAACAGAGCGTTCTCGACTTCGCTGTTCTCGGAAACGTGCTCGCACACGATCTAGAAGTTCATCTCAGCAACCATCCGTTGCGACTTTCGTTTAAAAGGCGGACACCATTACCTGTGTACCAAAACATGTCTGCTCGTGATATGAAATATGGTCAAAAAGCAAACATAGTCTCGGGAGATATTTCTTGCATTAATGTGAAAGAGACAAAATGCTTTTATTTTCTTTATTTAAGTTAAAGTTTGTTTGTTTTAAGAAAACATCAACGTGCGCATCGCCGGCCTTTACGGAAAAGAATCGAGAAAGGATAGATTTAACCATCTTCGGTACCTAGTTTTGTTACATGGTTGATCAATATCATAAATTAGCTTGAAACCCCAAAAAAACAAGTTTCAAAAAAACTGCTAAGACTTCATAGCCAGACGCTTTTTTATTATGTGGATCATTTAAATGGTAACTCCATTCGTGAGTAATTTTATGGTTCTAGCCGGTATCAACTGTTTAGGAAAATCTCTGGGGCAAGTTTGCATCCAGTTTGGTGTTACTGTCCTTAGTCTAATTCATATTTAATCAGGTGTCTGAGAATCAGCTTTGAATATTTAGTTAGTGGGTACTCGGTTGCAAACATCAGTAACCTTGACTCATAAAGTTAGGCCCCAGAAATTGAAAGATATAATTTGAGGAGTTCGTGGTGCATAGAAGAAGCAGGAAACTATTAGTGCTTGAATGAATTCATGAATGAGTTGGTTATGGCAGTTCGATAGACGCGTCTCGTCTCGGCTCTGAAAGCGTTAGCGCAATTTTATCTTATTGCGTAGTTTTAACAATTTTGAAAACATATTTATCATAACACCTGTATTTTACGTCAAAATAAATAAGAGCGTCGATTTCCACCCACATTTTGAGCCGTGAAATGCACGCAAAGCAGTGGCCATTTTGATCGAAACGTGCTGAGCGTATGCAAATGTAGAGAAGGTAATCTTGACTCAGCTGATGCTGGATGAAACGGTGTAATTTGCAGAGATTCGAGCAAGATATTGAGTCGGTAAGATATTGGCTTAGGGAATGATAGATAAAAGGTAGAGGAAAGCATGACTATCCCGTTTCCTCCTCCGATAATGGAATCAGATCGTAGCTAGAACAGTCAAGATAAAGAGCACGTAACAGTCTACTTTTAAATACATATGAAGGTTCTTTTTATCCTATGTGTACGGTATACTTTTGCAGCGGGAGTCCGCTTTCAAAACGCTATAAACTATGATAAGATCGGCGTATATATATGTATTTTTTATTTGAAATTGCTTTTTAAAAACAACGACAGGAAAATACGTGAACTAATCGGAGACAATAAATCATCTTGAAATTGAGCACGTCTGACGACACAGCGTTTTGAAAGCTCAGGTGCGATTTGCACAGATCTCTGCTTTGACTTTCACTCCACTTTGTTGCTTATGGGAATCTTTTTTTTTTCTTTTTTCACTCTGCTGAAGGTGAAAATGGAAAAGAATGAGACAGGTTATTTCCAATAAGATTCTTTGAAACGAAAAAGTGTTGAAAATTTATTTTATTCCCCCCCCCAAAAAAGAAAAAGAAAACGAAAATTACAAACACCACTGGTACCGTTAACTATATTCGAAGTATGTGTAGCACATATGAATAATGACTTAAATGCCTCTGATGAACAGGCAACCGGCACGTAAATCCTGTTTGTTTATTAACCGGTTCTTATGAAAAAAAACAAATTTTCCTATGAAATATCCCTATCCCTGGTTATTGAAACGAATGAAAAATAATATTAAAAAAGATTACTTTGTGGAAAAATTTTATTTCATAAAATAAATCCTATCATTTATATGCTGATAGGTGATCGTGTAGCGGAAGAGAAACAAAGATCTCTCCGTCCAGTGCATAACACAGTAAATGAAAGTTGGAGCGGTTCATTTATCGTATTACGGAAGACAAATGTGTTCTTTTTGCCGTTTCCGTGTTTTCATCATCATACTATAGCTTCAAAGAATAAAAAAAAATAGAAATGAAGGTTGTAAGAGCTGTTGTTATTTGCTGTTGAAGTGAAAGAGAAAAATACATGAAAATTGATTTTTGTTTGGCCCAAAAAAATAACAGCAAGAGCACAGGAAGTATTAGTGCAGCCTTCTTAATAGAATCAGACAATTCTGTATTCAATATGTGCTCTTTGTCTCTATATACCGGAATCAGTGCCTGTCCACCTCAATAATGGCTTTTGAACATACTTTTACAAACAAAGCGTTGGTTGGGATTCACGAAACAGTCCTTTCAAACACTAACAACAACGTGATATGGACTGATAAAATTCCTAGTTAATACGTTTGGTTGGTCTGATGTGGTTTAAGTTAGAGAGCAAGAAACAGTGTTAAGCATTTAAGTTTCTCAAGTGTCTCAAATTGAACTAGTTCCCCTGACCGCATAATGACATTTCTTTCCGTTGATCGTATACACAGTTAAAAGGATTGTTTGTTCAGTGTGCCACACTGGGACAGCTTGCTAACACGTTGTAAATTCTTAATTTTTTTCTCGATCTCGTGTAAAGTATTGTTGTATATGCTATTTCAATGTTTCTAAGTGCGCTCCTTTCCCAGCCGTGGGTACGAATATTTATCTTCAGTCCCACATGTAACATTCTGGAAGTCAATTTTTCACAAACAAAGATCACTTGAAAAGGAGAAAATTTGTTCAGCATATCTAATAAAAGAGAAATTGGCCATTTTGACTTTTGAATATCTCTGTCTCCATTCTGTATCCTTGGTTACCGATTCCGGCTTTAACCTTAACTGTGTTTCTATTCTAAGAATTGCACAGAAATGAAAGGGATTTTGACTTCAAAAATACAAAAATTTGCGGAGAAATATTTTGCATTGGGAAAGCATTTCAGGTTTTTGTTGCTTTGCCCAGAATTGAAACTAAAATGTACCACAATAATTTTTTTTTCGGTATTGATAATTAAAATATTTATTTAGAGGAGCAAAAGTTATGTATTTGTCGAGAGAAGCCGGGCAGAATTTCTGCAGTGGTGAGTATGACTGATGAGGGTGTGCTCCCCACCCACTCCTGGGTTTTAATGACCAAAGCCAGCGTCGCATGTGGGTCTATCTTGATGTGGAGTCCCGTCCTTGCATCCAGGATAATTTTTATGTCTACAAGTTTTCCTGCTTAGAAGCCAGCACACAAAATTTCTTGCAACCTGAAAATAGTAATGGGTACAGCAACCGCGTAAAGGCCGATTTAGTTTTACACACCTTCTTTCACGGGAAATTTTCCTGTACACTGATCTCATAGAGAGGACATGCGCGTACAGCTGTGGTTGATTTCAAATGTCAGTTTTTAACTTTTACCCCAAGTTCAAGGAGCTCTGAAAATTTTGGCGAAGTAGGGAAGGTAGTTATAATTTCTTTTATGGATAAGACTAACGCGCTTAAATTTAATAAAAAAAAATTAATAAGTGAAAAATACACGGATAGCTACAAGGATAGGCATTTGGTGAGCATCAGATGAAATGTTCGAAAAGTCAACGTTCTGGACTCCGGATCGAGAGGTCTGGGCACGAGCCAGATCAGGTTATATTGCGTTCTCAGTCTGACGCAAGACACTTTATCCTTATAAAACCTCTCTAAGGGTATGGAATGGCTACCAAAATGAAATGATGGGGGATAAGCCGCAATGGAAAAGCATTGGCGTCACTTAGCACAGCGAAACATGATAAAAAAACAAACATAGCGTTACTCTCGATCGCTTCATGCCACGTGAATCGATCGACCTGAATTGTCCTGTTTTTGATCGCGCCAAAGGTATGTTTTAGTCAAGTGTTTGCATGTTATTTTTTATTAGAATGGATCATTGTAAACATGAATTTGGTCAGTTAGTTCTCAAATCCGGTCCTAACGTTAAAATAGCTGGCCTACTTCTGGTAACACTAGGAGAAAAAAAAGTCCTAAATTTGACCCGCTTGAACCCGCTCTCTGCTCCATCTTGTCCATCACTGTTACATGGTTTTCCTTAATTTTGCATACCTATTCGCAATCTTTGACCTACTTTCATTTTCACGGGAACTTTGGTCACTCATCAGGAAGATTGCCCTGCTCTTACTTTAGTGTCAGCCTCAACTCAGTTAGGCACGATGTAGCCTCAATCGACATTTTCCAAGTATTTTGGACCCTCCTCGGTTTCTCTTCCCCTAACGTGTGTATCAAAGGACAGGTCCTGTCACTGTTGGAAGGGAAGACTTCTGTCGTTTCTCGTTTTGTTAAACTTAACATCACGTATCATTTCTGGCAAAGGACGGAAGCAGATGGCCGCTCCAACTTTTTTCCTTCTCTTTCTGATACAAGACGCCAAGCCTCCAACTGAGACGAAATTTAGCCATTTAAAGTCTTCTCCAAGGGTACGAAGAAAGTTTTTCAGGTGCACAATCTCCTACGGCCCAAATCGAGTGGCAAGATTCAATCTTTGTGAAACTCCACTCATTTCCAGCGTCCGAATCCCTGACTCGCTCGCTGGAGTGATAGTCTTCGTGCTCTCTACTTGAATATGAGAAGTCTAAAAGTCATCGTTTAATCATTAGATGACTGTGCAAGCAAGATCTGCAAAATGACTTTACTCCAGCGGCTTGCTTATAGTGGGGACTTTGATGTTGTCTCAATAACCGAAATATGGCTGAACGCTACCATATTTGACAGCTAAATCCTTCCCGGACAGAGGCGAACGCGCTGGCGGAGTACTGATGGCAGTCAAGCGAGATCTTCAGTCTTTTAGACGCTATGATTCGGAAAGAGAGTGTATTGAGCTGGTTGTTGTCGAGCTTTGAAATGGTCACGACAAACCAGCACTACTCCACTGTTTCTACCATCTTGATACAGCACCCGAACCGCTCCTCGAACTGAACTCTTCGCTTCAAGAAAACTGCGAATCCACTTGCTTAATAATACTGAGTGATTTCAATTTGCCAAAATTGGACTGGTCAAGCGACTCGTCTGCCCATGTAAACACAAGGGAGATATGGGAAATAACTTCTTTCAACAGTTAATCCCTGGTCCTACACATATTTCTGGCAATAAACTTGAT